GCCGTTCTCATGGCAACGATGGCAAAGCAGGTGGGACGGCATGCACTTACCCCCGGTCCCAAACTCAGCGTGTTCACAAGCTGTGCAGATAAGCAGCAAGTAGCCGAAGAAGTCGTTGCAGCGCGCGAGGCACAAAACGACGCCTCGGCACCAGTGATTAAAATAACTAGTTCTCATGATCATGACCAAACAAACTATCACAACAGTCGTATTTGACAATGAATACTGAGTACTACTTGGCCAAGGCTTCTTCGCCGGAGGGTAATCCCGTGACGAATCACCGAGGCTCCCTGAAGCCCTGAGCTTCCCAAGTCTCTACGTGCGCTGAAGACACGCAGTCGTGCAATGAGCACGATCATGCCCAGAAAGTTCTTGACCTGACCTGCGGGTGGCTTTCGCGGACGCCTTTTTTTGGGGGATGAGAGGGTAGATGCCCGGTTTGTTAGCAGTGTAAGATAAAACCTCCGCTGAAGAGTTGGCCCAGTGCCCTTCGCTTGTTTCTGCCACCTGCCTAGCTGTGCACTGCGGAGCGGAAAGAGAAACTGTTCTGTTGGTTTTAGCTCCAAGCCTTGAGACCCGCGATCTTCTTCAGTAGGCCCTACTCCTGCTCAAAAAGCTCTGGAATTCTGGGCCCTGCTCCTTCAGCCGAAAACCATGTTCTAGCTATTGATCTCTCCCCCAAACCAGCGTCCTACGGTCCTACCTGCAAAATCAGAAAGAACAACTGCTGACTGGAGAATGCGAATTGGCGAGCATGATCAGAAAACGGGGCTGCCCACCTTCCTGTTTGAGCGTAAATCTTATAGAACCCTAACCGCACCTCTCACGCAGATGTGCTTTAGACTCCAGCCCTTCCTGTCAAAGTGGCCTTGGAGCAGAACGGCCATGAAAAGCCTGGCGGGCATGGGGTCTGGGTAGCTTGACAGCTTGCGCACGCTCACAGCAGTAGCTCTTCATAAGCAGGCTCTCAAGTTAACGGCGCGGCGCGTTCCTTTCTGCTAGATTCTAGATAACATCCATATTTATGTCAATCCGGCCGGATGATGTGCTCTTGGAGAGGTTCAACACATACGAGGCGAAGTACAGGCATGGTGAGCTTCTCGCTACCCGGCCTCACCAACGACCAGATGGGAGCATGCCCTGGAAGCAAGAGGTTGGCGCAAATGATTGCACATCAATCCCGACCTTCTAAAACGGTCGATGGCTGAAGCCAGCTTCAAAGGAAAGCGAAGGATAAATGGGCTGCCCTGCGCCAAAAAGTTGGTTGACCACCCGGCCCCACCTGCTTTAGGCTTTGCGCGGTGACACAGTAAGCTCTCTGACTCACTAAGGCTCAGGTCACTTGAGGGCCTATGGCCTGACATGTTAGAAGAAGGCCTGGCACAGAACGTTACTTGCAGGGAGCTTCATCGAGGCTCATCATATAATTACACGGAGTATCACGGAGTAAAAAACAACATCTGCAACTTGTCAATCTCGTTTGGATCCCGCCGTCTACTTTCGGGACTTTGTGAGCATCTGCACATGAGGATTGGAAGCGTGCTCGGAACCCAAAGCACCTCTTCTGTAGAGTCCAAGGTGCCGAAGGGCAGCAGATTCATCCTCAGGGTTACTGATTCGTGTTCAGTCACTGTCTGTTCCCGCCCACCAGTTTTTCGAAGGCTGCACCTCTTATGCTTTTTTTCTGTCAGAAGCTTTGTAGAGGGCCAACGCCTCAATTGTGCCTATATACTGGCTCATTTGCGCATGTTGCCCAAAACGCAACTCCAGCTCGAAAGGGGGTGCCGGCTCACTTGCGCGTTTAACAAAAGGGGTGGCTCACTTGCGCCCATCTCACACCCACAAGTGAGCCGGGATTTCTGGCTGGGGGGTCAATGGTGTGGTTATCACAACTATACCCACTGATGAAAGCGTGGTTTCGTACGGTGTATTTCCATATCCACGGTAGGGGGAGAAGTAGCCACGCCGAGAGGACATCGCAAGAAAGGAAGCTGGGGGCGAGTCTGCCAGCGAAGGGCATTTTCTGCATTCGCAGATGAGGAGCAGCCGTGCTGCAGGGATAGAACGTCCGGTCAGCCAGCAGAGGCAGGCGAGCTGTTGGCTCCGCTGCTCGCTCGGCTGGTGGCTCCGCTGGATGACCGACAAAGTACCAAAAGCTCTTTTCTACTGTCGGGTCCGCGCTGGGTGGGCATGGTCTTTTGGGCGGGCGGGCCCGTGGGCCCGTGGGCCCGTGGGCCCGTATTCTCTGCTGGGTCGGGTGCAACCACTAGCCCCCGCCCAAACCCTGCAACCCCAAACTTATCCCCCGCAAACCCGCTTTGACAAGCCCCCTCTGCCCTGCCCAGTAGAAAGCGAACAACTGTAATATTTTTGAGGCGGGGAGGCGGGCAGAATTTCGGAAGCTTGTTGGCTTTGTATCAGAAGAGTGGCATTCGTGACGCGCCAGCAGCCAGCGCAGCTGCAATACCCACAACGGCAGCCGCCACCTCGCCACACCGGGAAATATCGACAAGACTCGTTTTTTGGTGGTTTAGACGGGGGGGAAACCTCTCGAACACATGACTAACCAAGTTCCAGTGGCGATAGTGCACGTCAGCAACTACCTGACACTGGTTTCCGTTGCAGGTACCTAAGCAGGATGGCCTGCTTAATGGGTGGGTGCTGGCGGGATTCATTTCGTGAATTTGATCATGGGGGTCCGAGCAGCGAAAGTGGAGAGGATTCCAGCCACTGAGCGGCCTGATCTCTGAACTGCGGTGGGTCTTGCACAAATGTGAGCTTTTCCATGCCGTGGTCTGATGCCGTCATGAGGTATCTGCGGGTCTTCGTTCTGGCAGGTGGCCGAGGCTAAGGAGCTGGCAAGTCTGCATCTGCCAAAACATGCCCTACCACTGCGGGCTCACGAGGGCCCGGGCTGGACTGCCAAACCCTTCGCATTGTGCCACCGGCGGCCGCCAGCGCTGAAGCGACTGCGCTCACACCGGCAAGTGCCTTGCAAGTTCATTATTGTCTTGGATTGGAAGACCTTGAAGCGTAGAGAAGAGGTCTACAAGACGGTGCGGGCTTAAAATGTAGCAGGCTGGGGTTTGGGCGAACAATGGTGTCAACGGAGAACCTACCTTCAGCAGCGAAGGGTGAACCGGTCTATCAACACCAACCGTGCCTGTGTGAAGACTTTACGGCAAAGTGCCGCGCCAACAAAACAGAAAGCACGGTGCAGCTCACCTTGGAACCTTCGACTCCGCCCTCAACTTAACTGTCGCAGACCTCAAACCAACACCAGACTCTCCAAACCCTGAAAGCAACCTAACCATCTTGCAAGAAAGGACCGCGCCTGACCAAATCCGCGGAGCATCACGGAGCCCCGAACGCAAAGAAAGGAAGTAAGGCGCGCCTCGAGGCAGCGGGCCATTCGCCCTGGCACCTTGGTCGCCCTTGGAGACGATGCCGCCTCCACAGGCTTGTTGCGGTCCCATCCCAGGCTCGTTGGCCCGGGCTCCCTAAACATGTTAAGGCCTTTTTTAGGACTAGGAGAAACCTCTTCTGCAAAACCTTGGTAGAGCCATGGCTTTCTTCTCCGCGACTCCGTGCCTCCGGTGTGAAGCCCTCCAGGTAGTAGTAGTTCAGCCTGCCAGACGAACAAGAAAAGCCAACCCAAAGTGGACAAGTCACTCCTCACTCCGTTTGGGCGGCTTAGCGAGGACGCCCTGCTTTGAAGCTAAAGGCTTTTACATACCCCCCAACAGCCGCGCAACATCTGCAATTGCTGGGCATAGAGATCCGGCCGAGTCGCTGCCGTAATGGGCGGCCCGCTTTGCTTTCATATCGGGTATGTCGTGTATACAGTAGGATCCACGTTGAGTTCGCAGCCTCTGAGTACACGAGGTTTCAAGAGGGATGTGTGGCGTTTGTCTCCCCAGGCACAATTCGGAAGAACTTCCACTGAGTGATCTGGACCTCTGTCTCCTGTCATAACCAGACTGCCGTCGAACCCAAACCCTCCAACCCTCTATGTCGCTGGACAAGTCAATCGTCTGATGTGCGTGTCAAGGTGCAGCTCGCGAACGCGTGACTTGATCATGTATTTCGAGGGCAGGATACGGATGACGACCTCCGGCAGGTGAGCCCTTGCTGATCATGCCAACACCATCCTTCCCAACCCCCAGCAAGTCTGTCCCTGAGTCTCAGCCTCCAACCACCGCCGACGCGTTGAGAACTGGAGCTCCTTTCTTTTGATCGTTGTGGGAAATTTGCGGGCTTTTCGGGTTCGTCGGGTGGGACTGATGCACCGGGCACCAGGGAGATGTTACCGCAGAACCCACTGAAGCCGAAACCCTCGGTGTCCTCATCAGGGCTGCAGCATGCAATCAGCTCCCGTGCGGTGATCCCGTCTGCCTGCCCGCATCACCGATAAGATCTCGGGGGTTTCAGGTCTCAGGGGATGGCGCACGGCATACCAGACCCGAAACACAAACGTGTCACATGCCAGGCACATCAAGAGCTAAACATCCTTGAACAAATCAAGCAGCTGTTTGAAAAGTAAAGCTATCCTGCTCTCCTGCCCCGGGTCTGTTCAAGAACAAACGCGACTTGGGACGTCTTCACGAAGACCCTAAAATCTCAGAATCTCATGATTCTCTCTAGAGAGCTGAGCCGCGCACCCAAGGGACATTTGTCAGCTCCAAACAGTCTAAGTCATCGGAGCCTGCCCAGGACTTTCTTTGGAGGCGACCCAGCGCTCGAAATGGAAACTTGTTCGGTCTGATGCCACTGTCAGAGGTCGGACCGAACACACTTGCCAGGTGCATCTGCCCCCGGGGTTACGAAAATAAGGACCCCAATAGAAACCCCCACATAGAGGGTTCCCTCATGATAAGGACCCCAAGAAGGTACCCCGAATTTCGGAAACCCCCATTCGAGTCCGAAGAAATGCCAACCACTTGCAGCACCTGGCCTTCGAAGCTCCCGGGGTTTGATCTGGAAACCGGACCTTGACCCTGTCAAACTCTGTAGATACCCAGGCACTTGGTGCTACCCACAACAGAGAACCTGCTGCCTTGATCATCGCAAAGCATCTGCACTTCCTGCTTCTTGAGCTCCTTGATTGTCGGCGGTTGTCGGGATGCGTCGCATTTCTGCAACGAAACACTCAACAGCTTTTCGGTATGGCAATGTCTGAACCGGACCAAGCAAAGCCACGCAGGGTCTTAGGATCTCGTTTTGAAGTCCTCCATGCTTTACCACTCACCTGCTCACCGAATGCTGTGCGCATGAAGTCATGAAGCTCACGCAGCTCCTCCGCCACGTCATTGAAGAAAGGCCGCAGCTTGGACAGCTGCTGGGGCGTGAGCTCCTGATATGAACAGCTCAATCTCAGCCACGTCGCAGTCTGGCATCAACTATGTTGGGGCTTTTCCTAGACCTCCGGATCATTTGCTGCTGGTGGCGTTTTTGCAAGCGCAGATCTCATGCCAAAACGCCCGAGAGCTCCCGAAGAGATCTCTATGTCCTATCGAATGCGGAACCTCAGCATCATTCAACATCCCAAAATTTCTCCCACCATTCGCCTTAAGACAAACCCACCTTGAGTTGGCCCTGGTTGTCAGGGAAGCTGACCCAAGTCTTCCCATCCACCTGAAAGGGCAGACATGGCAGACGACTGTGGTGCAAGTGCAGGTTCTTTTTCTTGCTTGCACCCAGGGCCCAGGAGGCTTTGAATCCCCATCCGCAGGAGGCCTGCGACAGAAGCACGCCGGCATTCTGTAGCAGGATGCGCTTGTCCTTTCGAGGTGAGGGCTTCAATGAGTTACGCCACGAGCTGCACATTGATGTTTTCGACCTACTAGGCCAACCCCATGCGTGGGCTCGTCTGGCTCGTCCCATGGGGCTTAGGACGTGGGCCGATCATCGGGTGCGTGTGGCTTTCTGAAATGCGAACTGCCGCAACAACACTACCCCAACAAATCCCAACGGCCACAAACATCCTCCGAGATGTCGCCATCGTTGACGACGGTCCGGAAGAGCTCTCGCATGCAAAGAACTGAAGCTTGGCCGAGCCTCACATGTGCTCTGGACGATACGGGCACTGGCAGCCGCATTCTAGCAACTCTGATGCCTGCACGTCGGCCTCAGATCGCTGCCAAGCTTGCCGACCCTAAACTATCCTAAACCGCTTGCCAAGAGCAGTTGTGATGTTAAACAATGTTGCCCCACATGTGCCCCTGTGCACCGAGACCTATCATCCTATGTCCTAGAGGTGTTCTCAGTGCACGGGCAGAGAGCTCCCATGCCTCCTTCGCTTCGATGGCCTCTCTCCTTCCGGGGCCTCCTGAGCTTCGGGCGCAGGGCAGTGCAGGGCGGTACAGGAAATGGGCTCTGAGGGCTCAGATGGCTCTTTTCAGGCGGCTTAATTTGCGAGAGAGTCTTGGGTTGATGCTGTTGGGGTTCGCACACAGAAGCCTACTGCTGAAAAGATGGTGCGTCTGCTTAAGCTCGTCGAGGAACTCGTTATCTGGGGCCGAGGCTTCCTTGAGCCTACAATCCCGAAAATGCCACGTGAGTCGCAGTCCTGTAAGCCTGTGAATACAGACCCCCATTAAAAAAAAAAAAAAAAAAAACTCAATAAAAACAAATAAGCAGATCCCAACCCCCCCCCCCCCGGCGCCAAAACCTCCATCTACACCGTAGCTCCTCTGACCGTCTGCGTAAGGAGGAGGACGAGGATGGCTCCATGGCCGACGACGAAGCAAGCCGGTGGATCAATGCGGGCGGTTAAGTGTGGGGGTAGGGTAAGGTGGTGTTTAAGGCTTGCCTGAGAGATAGACTATAGTGGTTCTTGTACCAGTTGGCTCGGGTGTAGGGTACATGGCTTCCTCATGGTTAAGTTGCAAGGCCCTCTCCAAAAGCCACGTGGTCCGGACGGTTACGAGATAGGTTCGCATCCCCCATCGATCTAAACCTCACCCCCCGCCCCCCCTCTGCCAGGAAGCCTGCGGGGCTTTGAACCTGGACCCCGGAGCTTGACAACTGCGTAAACCTGTGAGTCTACCCTTATCCATCATGTCTGCCCCGAACTTCGAAGTTTCTCATTGACCTTGATAGTGTCCATATTAGGACTCTCGGCGAAAAGGTTTTGCTAGAGCAAGACTCATTCCTGCCCAGCCAAGACAGGTTTTCCTAATAAACGCCCAGGACACGAGGAAACTTACGGCATGCAGTCAAACAACCATTTCAGATACTGGAAGCTCCGCAAACTCGCCTGGTCTACGACGTCCTTTTCACTGTCCTCGTTGTGCGCATTGCCTTTGAGGCTGGGGATGAAGGGAAAGGACCAAGGGAATGAACGAATGGCGATTCCCGAGCTTCCTGATGCCCTTGCCTCTCATGTGCAGGCTCGGGGCTTTTATGGCTTCAGGGGTTTCAGGATTTAGGAGTTAAGACCTGCCAGTCGCTCCTGAGGCGTCCTTCGGACAGAAGTCGCCGTTACCTTTCAAAGCACCCCTCTAGCTACAAACCTGTACTTTTGGATGTTCCCCCTTATACTAAACGTCCTTAATCGGGATTATAGGGTGCTACAATCCGTATTAAGGACTGTTAGGAAAAGGGGGAACATCCCCCAACCTGTACTTTGAAGCCTTTAGACTCCCCCCCCACACCGCCACCAAAAGAACCGAGGTGCGCATCCGCTCCAGGAGCCACACCCGAACCTCGCCGGCCTGTGCAAGAGATAGAAGGGGGGTTGGGATGTTCCCCCTTATACCAACAGCTCCTTAATAGGGATGATAGTAGCCCCGCCAGTATAATCCCCACGAGGACTGTTGGGGGGTTTAAGTTTAGGCCCGTTCAAGCAAGTAAAAACAAGAAACCCCGAACAAAACCTGAGTCGAGGTTTCGACTGACCTAGGTCACCGTCTTTGAGGCTTCAGGCTATGTTTTGACCACCTCAAACGTTTCAGGTTTAGGCTCTGTGCTCTGGGACGTTCGGGCCGGTTCTAAACACCTTTGCAATCTAAACCTTGATTTTGCAGTTGGAGGGGGGTGGGGGGCGAACTTTGGCTGAAGCCACATGCCCCCACGGGACACCTGCATGTTTCTTCTTTGTTTCAGGGCTTGAGGTTCCGCACCCCTCCAGCCCCCTGGGACCCCACAACTTCCCAAACACACCAACGAAGCCTCGAAGAAAAAAAAAAGCAGGGGACATCCGAGCCAAGGCGTCAAAAGAGCAAATAGCCGCTTAAATACGCGGAAGACACAACGACACAACTAAAATTCCTCACTGCGCCTCAGCTCTGAATCTCTGAAACAAGCCTGAGCCCTTGAACCCCTGAACCCATGTTGTTTCCAACCCTGAGCACTCCTAAACCCCAGGCTCTGCCAGAAAGTGCCCGGAGACATGCGTAATAGGCGAAACCACAATTTCTGCACAGGTCCTAGGCTATATTTATATAACCTGATAAGCCCGACAAACTGTTGCAGCCCTTAAAATCCCCAACCCTCCCCGCCCTTCCCCTCCTCTTCTTCTTCTTCTTCTTCTTCTTCTTCTTGGGGCTTGGGGGTAACCCCTTGCTACCACGCGCCCCCCACAGTCAAGTGTCGGTGTGAGCCCGCTATCTGCCGCTGTGCGTGAGACTCGTGGTGCTGCTCGGTGACCTCCCCGTTTCCCCGTACACGACAGGGATGCGAGACGGACAGAGGACGTCTTGTGACGCCAGACCCCCGAAACCCTGGCAACAACTCCGAACCCCTTCCTCATCTCTTGGTTCTTCGGTCTCTCGATCTCTCTATCTCTCTACCTCTCTACCTCTCTACCTCTCTATCTCTCTATCTCTCTATCTCTCTATCTCTCTATCTCTCTATCTCTCTATCTCTCTATCTCTCTATCTTTCTATCTCTCTATCTCTCTATCTCTCTATCTCTCTATCTCTCTATCTCTCTATCTCTCTACCTCTCTACCTCTCTATCTCTCGCTGTCGGAACTGAACTCCAAGGCCTGGGATGGCTCTTTGTCCCAGCACCTCGCCGCGGAGAGGCGTTTCTTTGTGTGCAAGTCTCAAGGTGTTTCAAGGGTGTTACCCTCAGTTTTGCCTGTAGGGCAAGATTAGCAAGCAGTCATTCTTTATATCCTGATCACTGGTGGTGGTCGAGAAGTAAGGGTTCGGGGCTTCAGGGAACTGATGCACTAGTGGGAAGAGTGTAGGGAGGTTTTGCAGGGTCAGGGCGAGCAAGGCTTTGCTTCCCTCACTGCCGGCTTTCCAGCCTGAACTTAGCACCCGGTTGCTGTGGACTTGATGACCGGCCTATGGCAGAATTCCAGAAAATGCCCTTGTTCATGCTTTTCGGGAGCTTCTTCAAAAACGTGGGGAGTTTGAAGTCTGCTTCAATCTGAGCTCTCCCACATGTGTTGCAGCAGCAAGAGGTCGAGCTCAGAGACCTCTGTGCTCCCGGCCTCATAGGTTTGGAGCTGCAGCCTACACTAGTTATACTTGAAACGACATGGGGGATGGTCAAAACTTCAATGCTAACTTCACGTGCCAAAGCAGGTGGCGCGAGGACTTGCGCACGTGTCTGCCCATGAAGGCATGAGTGTTGCTAGCTGCGCGCCGGATCAAAGATCCGCGTGCCAGTGCTGGGAGAGGCGATCATGCCTGGGGGGTCAATGTATGAATTGCTGGCAACACCGGGAGAACTTCTCCATCTCTAGTGACCTTACCGCATGCCCTCAGCACCTCGCCGCCCTCGCCACCTAGTCAGACCACACTCAACTTCAAAGCACCACCGTCTCAACTTAAGCAACGCCCGCAGGCCTTCGTCCCTAACTGCCCTCGTCCTTGGGTCCTTGGATCCCGGGCTGCCAGCGCAGCAAGGCGAATGAGCCGCACCGCCTCGCAGAATTCACACACACCGCCATGTAGCCAAAAACCCTGCACTTTGCCACGTCTGGCCTCTGGGTGCTTACTTCTGGACAATGCGCTGCTTTTGGCCCGTCACTGCTTGCTGAACCGGGTGGGGCGCAAAGCGGCTTACCAAACTTGCAGACTTCGGATCTCGCCGGGGGCAAAGAGTACCCCGCCTTCACGTATGCAGCATCCCAAAAGGAGACCACACCTCCCTGCATCATCCTTAGATACTTTATTCCCATGTCCTTTCAGGTTCGGCTCCCAGTACCTAAACCTCAACATCCCCACAAGGTCACAGAAGTATGCGCCTTCCCCATACGGCGGTCGGAGAGCCGAACTGGTGGCTCGGCCTCGTCGCGTAGGTAGGCCCTGTCAGCCAGGAGCTCAACAAGATCGGGCGAAGGATGCAGATCATCAGGTGCTGTTGTAACATGTGGGCCTTAGCTACAGTACTGTACTTGACCTACAGCGATGCCATCCTGATCCATGCGGATCCGTTCTCTTCATCTCGTGTGTTCGGATTCCAAAGGTCAGCCATGATGGGCCCCGCTATTTTCCAGAAGTGTCTTAAGCTGTCTTACGTAAGCATACCAGATCACAGGATCAAGAATCAGCCAGTGAAAGTTTGTTTGTTTGACGATAGAGTAACGGTTCGAGCACAACATGTGATGAGTTGCGAGTAGTCAGACTAGTCATGTCTTGCTGCCTTGATGGGCAATCTGCCGCAAGCGCACCTGAAGTCTTAAACGTAGCGGCTCAAGGTGGCGATTGGTGATGAACATGACTAGCTGACTAGCAGCAGCTAAGGGGCACGGGCTCAACTGTATCTCCCTTTTGCAAGAGAAGGGCCTGAGGCCCACGATCAGGTCCAGGAGATGGGCCTCAAAGCGGGAAGCAGGAAAGTGAAAGGGTACGTTGCGCAGCTTGCGGTCAGAACAGGGTTGGCTTCTGATACCAAGGCCAATCTCAGCTGTGGCAGTGCCTTGTGCGCTCCGAGTAACAGAAGGTTCACGTGTTGCTGAAAGCAGGCATTGCTGGCTGCTCTGCGAAGTTGACTGCCTGCCTGACTGGGTCCTATGCACTTCCAAAAGTGGAAACGTCTCAAAAGCTGAGATTTCAAGCAAGCGTGTGTGTGTGAGAGAGAGAGGGTGATAGCTTTCAGTCTGCGAATTTCATCTCTCACTATATGGTTGACTGTGCTCCTCCGTCCTTTCCATTCTAGGAGTTGACTGCCATTCACCCAACGTCCCTTATGCCTATCAATGTTTCAAGAGCGAGGGAGAGGGGGGAGGAAGGGGGGGGGGGCGTGGGGGGCAGCCATTGGGTAACTTAAGACCCCAGCTAAACCAGCTTCGGAACCCAGGCTCGCTTGCCCAAATCCCACAGAAGCCTGGGCCATAAAGCCAAAGAGACCCAAGTTTCCCCTCTGCAAAGCATGGTCCCAACATCTTGGGTCTTGAATCTCTTTCGCATCCTGAAGTCCTTGAATAGAGGTCTTGTATACAATGCACTAACTCTCAGCTCCCGAAACAAACCCCCAATCCGCATCCTCCCCCAATGCCCCGCACGGATCGAAAGCTTGGGGTGCTGGCCGGGAAGGTGACGGACTCTGCCTCGGCTCTCTTAAGATACTCTTGGGTTTAGGGACGCCGTGGCTGCTGAGGAATTGGGCTGTGAGGGTTTGTTAAGTTGAGTCCTGTAAGCTTTGCTTGTTTTCTGATCTTTTGGGGGATGCCACCAGGGAGGGCCTCCAAACGGAATCGATAGCTGGTGGTGGCAAGCCGCTGCCTTCAAGTTAAAGCCCTGAGCCCTTCAGCCCCAAATGGGGGCTTACGCAAATAAGGGACCCCTAATTTCGACCCCAAATGATAGGACTCCCCAATTAGGGTACCCCGAATTTCGGAAACCGCCAAATCTGCCCAGCGACCGCCAACTGGCGCGCTTCCTCGGAGTCCAAGGCCGAAAGCTTTGGCGCTGCATCCTTGTTTTAGGGTTTAGGGTTCAGGAAGTTCAGGGTTTAGGGCTGCATGAAAAGGAACATTGTGAATTCCATGGTTGACCCCTTGCAAACCTTACCGGTTGCTTGTCTTCATTCCTCGATCCTGTCTTCGGGGATGGCGCAACCTAATTTGGAGTAGGCACTCCATTCTCCCCTGCTTTTAATCTTGGGCAACTCAGGGCTTGCCTGGCTTCGACACTCACATGTGGTGAAGCCCAGCAGGTCTACACTTGCGGCGCTTCATCTGGGTTCGGGGTTTGGGTGTTGCCCGTCTCTGTGGGGTGAAACTGCACAAGACAGGCATTGGCTAGGAAGTTTCGGATTACGCGGGGAAAAGCATTGCTTGGAGGCTTTTGAGTCTGCCGGCCCAGTCAGCATGCAATCCTTTTTGTTGCTCCATCCGCTCTCTTGCGGAGGACAAGTCAGTGTCCTGCCATGTCCTGCCCACTGCTTTGAGTGGGGGTGCTCAAGCTGCGAGCCCAAAGTTCAAGGTTGTACACCCGATCAAAGAACCCGATCAAAGAAACCTGGGCGACAAAGTTTACCTGTGAAGCTAAACAGCTCACCTCAAGGCACAGCACACTCTGACCCACATGTTCAAATCTGTTTAAGGATTGCACTGCCAGCTGAGCACTGTGATCTGCAACCCGGCACGGGCGTCAGCAGCACCAGCAGCAAAACATTCGAAGGTAGCTGCGCGCATCAGCCTTCAGCAGGCCTGCGGAGCACGCGGAGCGATCCTAAAGCCCACACTGCACCAACCCCCCTAAAGATTCCAAGCTAACAGGAACAACCGACTTCATGCAGTTCGTAAACGACTCAGATCTTGCCAGTGTCCTGATTTAGTAGGACCTGCAAAATTACGAGACTGTACCTGAGCCTCTGAAGCCTCAGCTTGTAGAACTTCCTGGTGCAAGCCCCAAGGCTGCCTCTCTTCCGATAGAAGGACGAAACGTCCGCCACGCATTCGGCCACTGCCCGCTTGACTTGCTCGCCATCGCCTGCCTTGCAGTAAGATTTGCGACTTGCCCTTTCTGTAGCACGAGCAGTCACTAGCACTGTTCAAGGGCCAGGTAATCCCCCCCCGCCACTTAACATCGAAATCCGGCTCCGGGGTCAGAAATTCTTGTATTCATTTGGGGGTTTCGGGTGTGGGAAATGTAACCCGAAAGCCGGCATGCGGAAGTGCTTTTATGGAATTTCGGTCTTGGAAACAGCTCAAATCCACCCTATTCCACCCTCTAGCATCTTAGGGATTTGAAGGGCTTCCCGGTCCCAAAGGGAGGGGCCGAGTTCGACCGAGACATCTTATATTTAGGAGGGGTTTGATAGTCGTATGCGGGGACTTAACAGTTGAACCCCCCCCCCCTAGTTTTGGGGGCACTGCCGGCATGCAAGGTGAACTTGCTTTGAGGAAATGGCACGGGGCCCTGACCTTAGAAGAGCCATGTAAACCCCACATGGCATGCCATCAACATAGCGAAGCACACGAGCAAAACCATCGATATCCGAACCCTAAACTGCAAACCCCAACCCTAAACCCTAAAAACTAAACCCTAGTCAAGTACACTTCCGATTCAATTCCGGAGCTCAGCCCGAATGAGAGGATGGCACATGGTTGCACCTATGCACGCTTTGACTACGCCCCATGCTACCTGAGCCCTTCCTTTATACATCCCCCCCAGCCCCCCCAACAAAAAAAAAAACTAAACCCAATATGTATAAGCCCTCAACCCCTCGGTCGAGCTGGGCCTAAGCCGACCCCAAAGCCTTGGTGAACCCCAAGCCACTGCACCACTGCAGAGCCTTGAAGTTGCCATCTTTGATCGCACCACGCGCGAAGAAGCCATGGCGAACGCTCTTGTACCTCTTCGTCTTGTTTTTGCCTGGCAAAGACGAGCGGTGGGATCCACTTCATTAAATACCTCCCCGTGTAAGGGCGTGGTTTGTTGTTGATGCGGGCTTACTGGTCGACTTAGGACCTAGGAATCCTAAGAACTGCAACTGCCACTTTGAATCGCTTGAATCTCCAGCTTGAAAGCCATCCTGCGGCCCTGCCAGGCCTGGCCTGGGAAGCGCGCCTCAAGCTCGCGGAACACGTCTCCATCCGCGTCGTACATGGGCGGATCCGCGCCCTCTTTACCTGCGCCGTGTCTAGCCGGTCTAGCCGCCGACTGCCCCACATGCATGAAACGACCTGTTTGTTGCCCCGGTATCTTCACCCCCTCTGCCCCGAATGCACGTGCTTCAGCCTGTCAGCAGCTGCCTCAGCAGCTGGGCTGCAAAAGCACATAAAATCCGCGTGCATAGAGGTTCATCGAGGCATATGGGGTGCATGTCAAAGACAACTCCTGGCCTTTAGAAACCACGCGCGGGAGACTACTGTCGAAATCTCACTGAAAGCTGACGCTCGCACGGTCGCTTCTCCTCCCCAAAGGTTAAACGGACTTGGAACTGCTTCTAAGGGGGACATAGTGCTGGAACTGCTTGCATAAGTTTGACCCAACCGTTGTTTCTCAGCACACGCGCAGTCCCGCTGCACGCCATCAAATGCAAAATTAGCACAAGAAGCGCTACTTAGCAGCAAAGCCAACAGAAGAATAAAAGGCCTGCTTCACCGCAGGGAAAAAAGGCCCAGGGGCACCGGATTTCTCGCGCCAAGGCTACAGGATCTCCTCGCACGATGCATCTTGCACGCCGATCGATGGAGTGCTGGGATGTGCATTGACTATCGAGAGTCAAAGAGCACCTGTCTGAACGGCCACTGGAAATTTGCTTGATGGGACTTGCACGTAGAAGGATGATAGGAGCGCAAGCCACATAGCAAAAGGAGTGGAGGTGTGGCGAGTTCGCGGGCTCGCCGAGTCCAGCGTAAGGGCAGTAAAGTGGCGCAACTTACATGCAGGGCAAGACAAGAGTGGAACTTAGTGGAACCCAAGCGCAGTTCTGGATGTCCAATGATGGAGCACATGCCAAACCTACGGGTTGGACCCTGGAGCATACGCAGCCCAGTCCTCCTACCACTGCTTCCATGTGGAGGCTGGGATGAGGCGATGCGCCACAGATCCTGCAGGGGTCATCGTTGATGGTAGGGCTCGGGTGCGTTACTTTGTAGATCTTTAAGACACATACATTGTCTCAAGCCTTCCACTCACATGACTCACATGCTCCAAACAGGGTCAGCCCTCTATCTTTGTCCATCACAAGAGGTTTGTAGGCCCTGGCCTGGATTTCCCATGTGATTCCTGACCCGATCGATGCCCCCATGAGCTTGTGCAGACTGCCGTCCATGAGAAAACGCTTCTAGGACCTTGAGGAATTAACACTTGGATGTCTTTTTCATCCAAGCTCGGACTTGAGCGGAAGTCGTGTGAGTGGCCAAAGAACAGTGAGGCCGATTGGGTAAGTGTCCCCAAACAGTGTGTCAGTGTCAACACTAACTGGATTCCAACAAGCGGGGTAAGAAAGGCTAGATTGAATGCACAGCGCACGTCTGCGTGCATTCAGTTTCAAGCTTGGGTTCGTTCGACGGCGCAGGTCAGACGACGCCTGAAATCCACCATGCATGGCATGTACACGGCAACACGCAGCATCCCGCACCTCATCCCCTCCCCCGACGCTGACATTCTGGCTCCGCAACCCCCCGGGACCCAGGGACCCACAGAGCTATCATAGCCACTAATAGCCACTTCCATTTTTTGTGACCACATGCCTCGCTGTCAGTTCCCAACCCCACAGTGTTCTCCCTCGTTCCGGATTGCAAAGGGTCGATTGCCCAGCCCTCCCGAGTCTAATCTCGAAGTGCACTGAGAAACCCCCAAGCCCTAAGCCCTAAACGTGCAATTGGGTGCTGAGTGGCAGCTCCCAGGAGGGCACCGATCTGGCCAGGTGAAAGCCAACCCAGGCGCCGTAGCACACGCCCAGGACGCCATACCTCAGAGCATTCTTGCGAGTCCCTACATTGCTGTGGACTTCCTGGTGCTTCGAGGGCTCGCGGTTTCTGAAGGGGGGGTCCGCACTCGAGGGGATCAAAGCTTGCTTGTTTGGCCGTGGGTACCTTAGTGCCGGCCTGAACCACTCTAAGCCCATTGCAGCCCTTCGGATGTGCATAGAGAATTTGGGCTCATTGAACCGTCAACACTCGCTTCGAGCCGTTGTAATATCTTGTAGGCAGGGAGAAGATGAGAAACGAGCTTGACACTAGGGCACACTCGAAGCGGTGGATTGGGACAAACATAGTCTGCGTAAGCCTACCCTTGCGGAGGTCCGGGTGTGAAATACGACTGTGCAGTATCTTAGCGCGGTGATTGTCCTGCTTCCTATACTACAGGAGATACTCTTAAATGCTGGTCCCCGAGCCCGCATAGCCCGCAAGACTTTCAGACAAGCCACCGTTTGATGCCAGCTTTTCTCATGGCATCCACGACCTTCAACCTGCGCTTGGGTGAACATTCATGCAACCTGGACTGCTGAAACAGCTTTGGTATGCAAGGTCCCCCCCTTTTGTACCTGAACTGCTCTACTTTAAACTGCCTTACCTTGTACATAATTGTAGCAAGGACCCCAATTTGAGGAACGATAGGCAGGTGCCGAAACATGGGGAGGCGAGAGCACGATGCTGCGAATTCGCACATGGCAGTTGCAAGCCCAGACCAGACGCCCGGAGTGGTCCAAGGAGGCCGAACAGCATGCTGTTGACACCGAGCGGCTCCAGAGCCAAAAATGTAAACTGCAGACCATACTCTGACCGAAGCACCGAAGCACGATTTCGATCAAAGAATGCAGCTCGGGAGGCGAAAGCCCTCTAAGCGATGGACATGATGAGGCCAGGCAACCGGGGACCACGCGAGACCGAAGCGAGAGCATGACAGCGCCGTTTCGTCCGGCAAACCGACGTGTGCCCGCCAAATCAAGTTCTCCTACAGACCGTGTGCTGAAAAAATCTTCTTGCTTGACTCCTGCTGGACACCTGTGCATCTCCACCCGAGACTGTGGGATGCTTTCTGCAAGCCGACATTGTTCAAGCAAAGCTCCATAATGGCTAGTGCTGAAGTTCGGGCTATTACAAGACTCAACTGTTGGATCCAGAAGTTCAGGCCTTTGGGGCGATGGCCTTGCAGAGCTGGCCCAAGGGGCGTGCTTTGCAGTCGCAACCCTGAACTCAATCAAACTCTCAAGATCTCTAGAGTGAGCCGAGCGACACCTTCGGCAAGGTTTTGCTGGGGTGCCACGGCCCTGCCCGGGCAGGGGGTGGCGGGTAATCCGGACTGGACAGCAGGCCAACCAGCTCCCGAAATGTCCTGCAAGCCCACAGGACTCTACAAGAGTCCAGCCGCAACCCTTCCCTTCTTGGAGGCACCCTGAGCAAAAAGAAAATGCCATCTGCCAACCCCTGTAGCCTTTGAACCTGTCGGGCGCAATCTCGGCCCGGCGTGTGAGGAGGTCAAAAGCCGGCGGTAGCCCATCGCCGTCTGTGCCGCCCTGCCCAGGGCTTGGCGTTCCACTTGAGGATGGTTGAGAAATATGAGTCTGAGGTTCAAGACTCATGGGGAAATTGGGGAAGATGCGGGGGGGCCTGCCCACCCGTTCGTCCGCTCGTTTATTCGCGTGCCCACTCGCCCCTAGGCCCGTCTCCCGGTCCGCCCGACCGTCTGCACGTTCGACCACCCTCCCGTCCGCACATGCGCCCGTCGTACCCGCTACTCAGCTTCGTGTGGTTTTGGGCAAACTCACGCGCTCAGCTTACTGAGCTTCGTGTGCCCAAGCCGTGTCAGAAGAGCCGATACATGTGCCGGCTTGTTCGCAGCATCCGTTCTCGACATTTTCCGCAGGAATGTTCGGTGGAATATTTGAGAACGGATTTCAAAGATCTTCGGAACGCGAGAGTCTCTTTCCCGATTCTTAAAAGACGATTTCCAGCCCAAGCCCCACGTAATGGAAATACTCTTCGTGCCTCCTCCCTGGCCTCAAAAAAATCTGAAAAGATTGTGGGCCCTGGGAAGGAAGTCTGCCCCCGCGGGATCGGAGATTTGGAGGGAATCCTGGCCCGGACGATATAACGCCGGGACGCTTCGTTTGCAAGGGTAGAAAAGCCCAAAGTCGTCAATTTACAGAGTATATATTTCTATATATATATATACTACTAAGATACTAATAAGGAAGATCCCAACTCGAAAACCTTTAAGTTGCAAGAAAGAAGATTCAACCCTCAATTCCAGGTCCCCCCACAAGTTCCATAAGCCTCGGCTCTAAACAGGACACAGAAAAGAGAGAGATAGAGAGAGAAATGCGATATCGCAAAGTTGTATAATCGAGTCAACTCATGGCAACTCCCCGCTTAGAAAACGATGCTCGCATGGCATATTGGATTTCTCTGAGCGTTTCGCGTGCAACACGAGCGCCACGGACGGCCCGGCGACATGCACGGCGCTCATCCAGGCGTCAAAACGCCTCAAAGTCAAAAAGTTGGATTCGCGCGACAGCCACATAAAAACTGGTCGCGTTGGGGCATGGGTAAGATTGGGCAGGCGCAACGGAGGCCGCCTCCACTCACAGCTACTGCCTGCTTGGAAGACGAAGCCCATGATGTCGAATTAGCTGCATCTCTGGAACGTGCAATTTCTCTGGGCTACACGCCAGGAGCCTCAAAATAAAAAGTTGCAGCCAACATGCGGGCCTGACTGTAGGTAAGCCGGCAAATTCGAGCCCCTCAGTCCTAAAGCCTATTCACCTATTCTCCTCAAAGCAAGCCACTTTCAATTCGCCAGTCGCTCCACCATCTGCTTGAAGTCTTGGTCGAAGCGGCTTCGCACGGACAGAAGCGCCTCATGAATGGAGGTGCGGACAAAGGCATTCATGGCATCGAAGCCGCCTGGGCCTCCACCAAGGATTTGATCATCTGGAGATCGTTTTGATTCGAAGCCTGCGCGTTGCGAAGGTCGAGCACCACCAACTTCCCTGCGATGGTCATGCACAAGTCAGTGCCAACGCCGCCCTCGTTCAGGACGCCTGTGGACGTGCACAGTCGAAAGCCCAGGAAACCAGTGTCTTCTGCAGAGCGAAGGTTGGTTTGCAAAACTTCGAAGAGACACCAGGCTCTCTGCAAAGGTAAGGCGGCCTCGTCGAGAACCATCACGGTGCCTTTGCAACTAGGACCTCGCAAAGCTTTAAAGAAGGAGGACTCTTGCCAGGCCCCGTCACCCAGCTCCTCTTCAATTCTCCACTGGTTGTTGCTGAAGGTGCATATCCAGTAGTTGGCATCTACACCTGCTGCCTCCTTTGACCTTGCATGGCAAGCGACAGCATCCACAAAGTGTCGAAACCCCATACCCCAGTAGTGGCTGACAAACCAGGCGGTCTCAGTGGGACCCACAAGCTCAGCATAGGAGAGCTTGAAGGGCTTTGTCAGCGGTTGCACCAGGTTGGAGCAAACGTAGTACATGGAGCGATCATGGATGAAGGCACTGAAGAATTCATGAAGGTCTTGGAGGTTGTCGATATGCAACGCCCGCTGTGTCCCACGCTCGCACGGCGTCGGCACCCGCCCCTTCAACAACTGCTTGGCAAAGCGCTGTCGGGCCTGCGAGATCGGAGTACGAAGCGCAAGCTGCTTCCACAGCCGCAAGGCAAGAAAGATCAATGTCGCAAAGAATGAGATGATACCGCTCATCAAGGGCTGCACCTGGGTGGCTGAACATGCTGCAACAGCCAGAATGGGCAGCAGCCAGGCACAGAAAGGGATGCCAAGAATCCCAGCATTGCACCAAAAGGCCATGAAGCCAATGACAAGTGTGCCCATAGAGCTGGAAACAAAGTCACCCATCGCCTTCTCGGGGTCCTTGTGGGTGAGTATAAGATGCTTCCCGCCAGAGGCCTTCACCCTGAAGAGCGCTTTCGAGTGATCCAGCTGCGGCACGCTTGTATCTCGCAGCTGAACAATAGGCTGGACCCACGTCCAACGCAAAATCCTGTGCGGATCGCGTGTGGAAATCACCATTCTGCCTTTATTGATTGTTACATCGGAGATGGCAACCGCATAGAAGGACAAGCTTTTCAGGCCAAGGTGGACACAAATGCTGATGCTGAGCATGAACAGGGCAAGGTAGATCGTTGCTTTGGTATCAATCTGACAAGTCTGCCGAGAATCATCCGACGTTAAAACCACAAACTTGTTCATGCAAACTTCACACTTGCTGCTGGCGGAGCCAGCTATGAGTCCATCTGGGCAAGGGGTACATTTTGCTTGGCCCACATCCGAGAATGTGCCTGGTGAGCAAGGAATGCACTCAGCATGCGTCTCCGATGCAAAACAACCGGCTTCACATGGCTCGCACTGGCTGCTGCCAGGGCCAGAGATTTGACCGGTGCTGCATGCAATGCAAGTTGTTGCACTTGCGAAGGAGAACGTCCCCACTGGGCACGGGAGGCATTCGGTACCTGTCAATGCATAGCGCCCCGCCTCACATGGCTCGCACCTGCTGCCAGGGTTGGGCGAGGGGTTGTGTTTAAACGGTTTGAACTTCCGGCGTTTAAACGCACAACGTTTAAACAAACAGCGTCCTTGCGATTCAGAATGTTTAAACTGCTTACACGACTGTTTAGGCGCGGTTTAAACATTAAACGGTTTAAGCTGTCAAATGTGTAAACGCACACATGTTCAAACACATGTTTAAACACATGTTTTAAACATAAACACAGTGTGGCTGCATAGAGTACGCGTTTTGGAGTCTTGGGGTTTTGGCGCTGTGGGAAATTTGGGACTTTTTTGGCACCCGGCGGTTAGGGTTTAGGGTCTAGGGACCCTCACTCCCAACCCTCTGAAAACTCACGCCAAGCCTTACAATTGCCTCGGAGGACTGTTAAAAACACTTGGCAACAACTTCTTAAACATGTTTAAATGCCCTGGAGCCCCGCCAAATGTTTAAACATGTTTAAACGTTGAGCCTTGCAAACGGCTTGAACTGGCTGAACGCTCCAAAGCCCGAACTCTGTTCAAACAGTTTAAACGTCGCAAATGTTTAAACGCTTAAACCTCAGACTCAAACATGTTTGGCCCGGCCCTGCCTGCTGCTGTCGGGGGCTGCAATCCGGCCTGGTGCGCATGCTGTGCACTGCTGCTGGCCTTCATCCGAAAACGATCCTGCCGGACAGGCAGAACATGTGTGAGCTGCAGCAGTGGCCACGAAACGGCCGGCCTCGCAAGGGAGGCACTCTTTGCTCTGGCGTCCTGAAGCACGGCCTGGCGCGCACTCCTGACAGAGCTGGCCACGGTCGGAGGCTGTGCCACTCGGACATGCCTGACAGCGCTGCAAAACCAAATCGGCGGCTTCCAGCGACGGCTGCAGCACAATTTGCATTCCTGCCGGGCAGGATCCCTCTGCACAGGTGGTCCGGCCCTGAGCGTCTGTGCCGCTGAAGTAGACCTCGCTGCAAGTGCAAGATCCAGAGCCCATCTGTAGGCAGGCTGTGGTGTTGGAGCCGGTACTCCGGACCGCGGCGGCCCGCGACTGGTCGTCATCACATACACCGCGTCCAGAGCAAACACGCTCGTCGCCAGCACATCGAGAGCAGTCGAATGGGTAGCCGAAGTACCTGGCCCCTGCGAAATAGTTGGGGCCGCACCGAGAGCAGTCCGCTGCACCTTCGTAGCCAATCGCGCATTTGCAGCCGTAGGGCGCGCACGCACCTCTGCTGGAACATGCACGGGGCTTGATGCAAAAACCGGGGCTGAACATGTCTGCATCCAGGATGAAATGCAAGCTGCTGCTCAAACCCCAGCGTGTGACATGCACGACGTTTGGGTACCTGAAGGATGGCAATTTCAACAATGTCCGCTTTGCGAGAACGGATCCATCCTGGTGACGCTCACAAGCAAAGACTTCCGTGGGCATGTAGTAGTGACCATTTTGTTTTCCTATCAAATCAAGGCGGCCATCCCCATTGATATCTGCCACGCTGAATGCCTCCCCGTCAAAGTCACCAAACATGTAATAACAGGAGTGTGAGTCACGGTTCACTATCTCTTCTGGGCCAGCAAGGCTACCATTTGGAAGTTGCTTCAACCAAGCCACACCATGGTCAATTGCGTACAGAAGATCCAACCTCCCGTCCCCATTCCAGTCTGCACACTGTATCTGATGTATCCCTTGTCTGACATAAGGATTGGCTGGTACTCTCACGTCCTGGAATGGGTTGCTGTCTCCTGTAACCTCCACAAGCGAACCAGCAGCGTGTCCGTCCAAGCGATGGTAAAACCGAAGCGTCCCATTCTTGTGACAAACAACAAGGTCTGCAGCTCCATCGCCGTCCCAATCTCCTGCTGCAATTGCAGTGGTCTCGTCCACCAGGACCTGCCCAAACATCTCCGGTGAAACGCTCATTGGCTCCCCTGCACGAAAGGGAAAGAACCGGAGCCTGCCACTTCCCGCATCCAAGACATCAATCGAGCCGTCCCCGTCCCAGTCCACAAAGGTCATGCCGTGATTGCTCAATCCCAGCGTGCCGAAAGGGTTTGCTTCAGCTGGCCTTTCCGTAATGCTGTCCAGTTCCTTGCGACGGAGTAAGGACATTCCCACTCGAACATCCAGCAGGCCGTCCATGTCCCAGTCTGTCGCTTGCATGGACACGTGCCAATGACCATATTGCGCTGTGAGCAAATGTCCCTGTCTCACCAAGGAACCACCCCCAGACTGCTCGTAGTATGCCAAGCCAGCCGCATAGTCATGCCGGGTAGCCTTCTCAAGCTCCCAAAATAACAAGTCGGTATATCCGTCCATATCCCAATCCACTGCCAGCACTGCGAGAACTCTGGCTGGGCTGAAGAGACCCTGTAGCGGGTTTTGGCTGCCCGTGCGCAGGTGGAGCTCACCGTCCATGTTCTCCAGGAAGCCGAACTCAGGCTGGATCATGGCGGCCCAGGTGCTCCAGTCGGGGGCTTGCTGCGACCAAGGGCCTTCTGCGAAGATCACATCAAAGTCCCCATCTTGGTCCCAATCAATCACCTGGACTTGTCCGACGCTCGACACTGACCTGACAGGGTTGTCCGTACCGTTCCTGACAACAAAGGTCCAGTTGTGGGAAGGGGACTCGCGCGATACCTGCTCCAAGTACAGCGCCTCCCCATGTCCGTGTGCGTTGAACACGAAGAGATCAACGTCCCCATCCCCATCCCAATCAGCAGCTTGCAACTGGGCAACTAGATGGAATCCGTAGTTCTTCCGCAAACAGGAGCCTTGACAAGTATTGAGGCCGACCTCTGCCAGAACAGTTTTTTCATCCAGGCTTCCGTTGGCAGCACGCTTCTGAAAGACGATGCTGCCCTCAGAGTCGATGTCCAGTACATCGACCCTGCCGTCCAGGTCCAAATCGACCAGGTACACAAAATTGTACTCGGCATAATAAAAATCGGCTTCGACCCACTTGTTTGCAAAGACTGGGTCTGTCGAAGGGCTGTACCGTTCCAATGACACGCGCTGCCCAGTGCATGCACCTATATCTGATGAGATGCATTGCTCGTGTCCCTGGAACCTTGCAGCAGCAAGCCGAAGGACGAGCTGCAACCAAAATGTACGCAGGACTCGCGGCATGGCGAAATTTGGCACCGTATCTGCCATGGCCAGCAGAGGAAAAAGTTCGTGGGGTCAGTCTTCGCTGTCTAGATTTCAAGGATAAAGTCTGCAGGGCCATTACACAACTCCATACATCAGCAGTCTCTTACTCTCACTGCGGCCAGAAGATGACTGAAGGCTGAAGGACTGAGCCGAAAGGAACGGCTCCGAAAGGCACATGCCTCGTGTACCAGCCTCGCCTTCTGCATTTAAGCTTCTTAACACTCGGTTTGCTGTCGCTTCAGCTTTGGGCTTTGTACTGCGTATGACTGCGTGCTTTTAGGCTGCGAGCTGCTGGGCACGGCTGACACGAAGGGGTGAAAGGGCGTTTCTCTCGCGCAGACTTTAAGCTTCGTCTTCTCCCTTGTGACTCTTTCGGCCGCCTCGGCCATCCTCGAATCCCTCACCCAAGCCCCTACATTGCCCTACATGTCCTGACCCCTTCTCACAGGCCTCGTAGGGCTCCAGGATCTTGGGAATCCACACAGACATCCGCAACGTCGATGCGAAGGCGTCAGCCAAGGCGCGGGTGCGGCCCCCGTTCCAGCCCCAAATGTCCTGTAGGACTTTAAAACCCTACGCTTGAGACACTTGGGATCCTTGGGTTCGGGATGTTGATGCTGAAGGAAACCGATTGCTTGCACGCCTTGATGTTGCACCCTGCTTAGCTCCTTTAAAGTCAAGTTTGCCGGGCTACTCAGGACCGTGTGACTGTTTGGGGTTGCCCGGTGAAGTCTAGGTGTCGCAAGAATGCTTCGTGTGTGGCGCGGCCTTACAATCAACTGCCAGGGCTCTCGAAACCTATCTCTCTCTCTCTGCCGCTGCATCCCAATGGTCCCACCGCGTGAGAAACCTATAGATTCACATATTTAATTTGCCAGGGCCCTTTAAGGGGGGGAAAAAATCAACTTCCACTGTTCAGTGGGGGGGGGGGGCTGCACACGAAAGAGGGTGCAACATGATGCCGTCTCCAGGCCGCTTATAATGGGCGCTTGAAAACAACGAACGGAGGGAAGGAGAAGACGAGCGGCCAGCCCCGCACCTCTAATGCGTTTTGACACATGCCCATCGGGGCCGGACCAGACTTATAGAAGACCCCGAATCTGGACCTGACAACAACGCCGTCCGGCAGGTACAAGATCGCTGTGGGGCCCTCGCCCACTACGTAATAGCCTTAGCTGCGACCCTGAAGGAAGCACCGGCTCGCCAATTTGGCACATCCCCTAGCTGCAATGTGCCACCTTCCATAAGCCTTCTGCCACCTTCCGTGAGCCCTTCTGCATGCACGTGTGTATAGAAACTGATCATCTACAGGCAGCACAACTGCAAATTCGCAAGCACCCAAGGTGCATCCAGTTGATTCCAGTTGTGCTTCAACCGAAGTCCAACCGAAGTCCAATGCAAGTTGGTAACTGACACCCTGCGCATCTGCCACTCGACCCTGATCCACGTGATCCGCTGCCAGGTAAGGCTCGGAGCCCGAGGGGCAGCAAGCCATGGCGGCTTTGTAGCCAGGGATGGAAGCTGCAATGCATACATATCCGCATCATTTGGGCAGCCATTGAAATGAGGGTGGCTTTGAATACCATGGAGGCGCTGTTGCATGCGTGACTTTCCGCTCTTCTGGAGCCCGACTTCTAACGGCTGTGGTCTTTGAAAGGGCGTCTTCGGGAGACTTAACTTTCCTCCATTTTCGTGTACTTCGGGAGCAGTATGCGATGGTATGAGATGAGACCTTGCCCACAAGCTCGAGACTCTAGAGGAAAAGGAATGCCTTCGAAGAGCCATGCTACCTGACGAAATCTTGTTCCCCATCCACCCCAAGAATCCATCAACGCGACTGCGTCAGCCAAATCTCCAGCCTTTTAATTCCTTGAGCAGACCCACCCCAAATCCGTCCCAACATAGCGCCCCTCCTTCTCCTCCTGCGATGGCTTTGCCGTTTCCTGGCAAGCACTCTCCGATGCCTACCAATAGAGTGCTGAAAGCCACAGCAGGGATCTTGAGTAGATCCTGAAGCCCAACGTCCTGAGTGGAGGAAGAACTACCTATTTCATCCACTTGTGGGCCACACGCCAGGCGGAATGAGGGTTGGGGACGCACGCATGACATAATGTCACAGTACGTCATGATACAGGGAGTAGGCCGGGACGATGTTGCTGCAATGAGCACGTAACTCTAGACCAAAACCAACACATCCGTGAGAACAAAGCTGAGCCCTGCTTCTGATGAACACGACGGTGCCTTTAACTGATATCACTTGCGACTGCACAGCTGCACAAGCGTCCCCTACAAGTCAGGGATACGTGGTGGAAGCCGCTTTACATGGTGCCGCTTGAGCTGCTTTCAAAACCAGCGGCTGCACCATGATGAGCCCAGCAACAACCAACCTAAACTAAGAAAACCTCACCGAAACCTGACAAAATCAAGCTTGTGAAGCCTGAGACAAAGAAGGTTACATGCGAACAAGCATGCGCTCCGAACCCATCAAGCAGCAGCTCGACAGGGGCCTCGTAGGCTGCTGCGTTGGCATCAAGAGAGCAGCGGAGGAAGAAAGGGACCTGTGCGTCCGAGACCTTGGATGCGTGTTCTATGTGGTCTACAGAACTAGACTAGGTTGGCTACCTGCTCCCGGTGTTCCGACGTTTGGGATATTTAGGACGTTGGACTAGCTGACTAGCGCCTACGCCAGCGTGGGAGCCAACAGCTGTCTCCTGCGATTCCTCAATGGAACGTCAGGCAACCTGACGGAGTCGTACGGATTTGCTGATGGGATGCTAGTTGTGCATAGCTGCATGGCGCTTTGGGCTTAAAACTCGCAGCATGCCAGTCACGAGAAAGAGGATGCCAGGCTTGCTTGTGTTAGTTGGACCCAATGTCCTCTTCATCCTCCATCCCGAGCTTAGCATGCAGGAGCACCGTCCCAGTGGCTACTCAATCGTGCACGAATGGCGAGTGAGGTTTTCTCTTGCAGAGGTGAGAAGTCCGGATCCCGGCGTCAATCCCTGCTAGATTACCAAATGGCGCATGGGACATTGGCTTAAGGCCACAAGAACGCCAATGCTAAATCCGAAGCTCCAGTCTTCGATTCATAACCCACACAACACAGGTACACTGAGAAGCAGGCGGGCGGGACGGCTCGGCCTAAGCTTTTCTGTTTTTTCCACCTTATGTTCGTTCTTGTTATCAAGGGCGAAGAGAGCTCCCTCGATGGATCTCAGAAGATCTGGGACATTTCGAGGTTTAACAGCAAGCTTGGAACCCAGTCGAGGAGTTGCGGGGCCAGTCACTCTCTACGGCAAACAGAGGATAGCTCGAATCTTGAAAAGGTCCACGGCGCGCTGTGGTGCGCAGAACGCCAGTGAGGGGTGAGGGGGGGGGGGTCTTTGTTGCCATCTGCCTAGCAGCCTCGCAACCACGCCGCAAGGATGCAAAATGTGTCCACACTGGGAAGGCTTTTGTGTGAGAAGCTTTTTCGAGGTTCATAGGCTGAAAGTAGCTGAAGGGACCTGGACCGTGACCTGGAGTCGGCAGAGTCAACACCTTTGAAGGAGCACAGATGCCCTTGCAATGCAAGTGTGCAAACAGCCGAACTGAAATGCCAATCATGATCTGTTGAGAGCGTGTAAGGCTGTAAGGTTTAGTCTTCAGGCTGTTTGGCTCCGATGCTAGGGCAGAGTAGACATGAAGAACCTTGACCAGAAATATGGCTAACCTTTCACGAGGCCTTAGTCAACTGATAGTAGCGTCTATCCTGCCAAAGCAACCCTAAACTCCTAAACCCGAAACCCTAAACCCTAAACTTTCTAAACCTTAAACCCCAAACACTAAAACCCTCGCAGTGGCACTGGGATCTGCGATGCGGGTCGCGCACGCAGAAGGAAGCGATCGAAGAGGGCCTGGCTCTTCAAATAGAAATGGTGAGCAACTTCGTGCGGAATTGTGAAGCTAAGCTAAGGCTTCATGAAAGCAGTAGGGCCACTGATCAAGGCTGCAGGTCCCTATCTGCCTTCCAGCCGCATTTTTGCAAAAACATTGTGTCTAGCCTCAGCCGCTACTTTGATTACTACCACGTGTGTGCCGTGGGCAAGAACAAACATGCAGTGCTCAATGCCCAAGTGCCCACCCCATGACACGCAGCGGATGCCAACAGGCAAGAACACAATGGCAGCATTGGACAGCCTGTGTTGACAGCATGGGCGAAACCGAATTGCAGCGTGCATGATACAGCCACAAAGACTGCACGAACCCCAACCGAATAATTGGCGGCCGCTGCGCTCCCTGTCCAGAGAATAAATTGAGGATCGGATGGTGTTGCGCGAAAAGTTTCCGCTGCGCCAAACATTGCCTAAAAAAGATTGCGAGGTGATGCAGCAGTGGTCGTTGAAGGCCCTTTTGACGACCCGAAAGCTTGCAACTGGGAGCCTGCAATGCTGCAATGACAAACCTAGCACGTGACCGTTCGGGAGCCAAGTGGAAAAACTGCAAGTTTGCCAGCTTGAGGAGGATGTTCCGACATTGAGGTCCAGTAAAATCAGGTCCAGCTGTGTGTGTGCCATAGTCTGGCTCCTCCCGCCCGTGCGAGCGGCAGTCTGCGACGACTTGCTGCCGTGGGCAGGACCATTGTTTGGTAGGGTCGGGCATCATAGCAATTGGCTCCAAAGAAACCTGTCGCATTGGCTTGGGAGGAACTGCACCTGGCGTGTGTGAACTGGGAGTATTACATTGTGTATCACTTTGTGATATTTTGTGTGACTGATGTAAATCGGCAATAATTTCTCGAATAGAGGTGCAGATTGTAGGTGGTGTATGGAGGCATGGTACCGCACTAATTCGCAACATGAGCTTCTTGTGTGGTTTCTTCAGGACCTGAGGGTCATGCGAATGAGGGAAGGACTGGGTAGCCGACTAAGTTTGAGAGAGGAGCCCCAAAGGTGAGAGTTCTAAACTTGAAGCGAACCCCTGAGCACAATCAGAAGAATTGCTAACAGTATTCCTTTATGGTCCCCGTATTATTATTCTATACTAACCCCCCAAAACCCGATTCTAATTCTTAAGGCCCCGAAAGTACATAGATTATACTGTTCTAGCTTATCGCTTTTCAGGCCTCGAGCTCATCACTCTCAGGGAGCTCGTTGGATGCAGCCACGGCGCACCACCTTGGACACACACGGGAGCTCTGGGTAAGGCCAGGGAGGCCACAATGGTGGCGGTCTGTTCTTTGCGGACATTTCTGAGGCCTCTTCGCAGGTTATTTTTTTAACAACAGCCCACGTCGTCACGTCGCGGCTAGCTCTCCCCAAGCTCAAAAAAACTGGAGCTTGGCTTTTGCAACTCGGCAACGCGTTTCTGCACTGAACTTTCTTTGCCTTTGGGGCTCCGGTACGTTTGTCCCGGAACATCTCGGAGCTTGAAGAGCTTGATCGGTTGGCACGTCATTGTCTGGAGCTTAACTCTCGAGTTGACTTTGCATGGCCGCTGAAGATGAACAGCCTTGGTATCTTTGCTTCGAGCTGTTACATGCTGTTACCCTCTCCGCTGGTGTCCGCTGAGATCCGTTGCCTTGGGCACTGTGCCCTCACCTTCGTGGCACAATCCAACTGAGCTCTGCATGCGCAAGCTGTCTGCCATGTAGAGATAGAAGGCACAAGGGGAAGCTGCAAACGTGTGTTCACCCCTTTCGGCACATCAGAAGAGTGGGCCCCTAGCTCGTTCGCAAGTTGCATTCCCGGGCTTCACTTGTTCATGACAGTGCTCACAAAGCTGGGGTATATGCTATAACTAGGCTATAACTATGACGGTCGGCCGCTTTCATTTCGCATCTCGGAAAAGTATTCATTACAAACAGCTGCTCTTTGCTCGTATATGCCCGATGACGCGGTATCGTGCTGGCACCGCAAACGCCTGCTTTGCTTGCATCTTGCTGTGTTTACTGGTCTTAACAATCGCCAAGTGCTGGGCGCCACTCACGCGTCTGCTCACAGCAGCAGGCATACTGATGTCAGGTTGCAGAGCAGGCTGTGGAGTTATGTGCGGCAACCGCGAGCATATCGAGTATATATATATACACACACACATAAATAAATAAATCAAGAAATAAATCAATAAATAAATAAATAATATATATATATATATATGTCATGTTTTCTCCACCCCGTCCTGCCGAAGCTGCGAGGCCATGTTAGCCACTCTCTCACCACGACATCCCCCAGCTCTATGTTAGGCCAGCATTTCGCCCTCATGGCTCTATAGCGCTTCCCAAATGCACGAAACAGCATCGGCCGGGTTCCAAGCTGCCTTTTTCTCCCATCTTGATTGCCATGGCTCTCTGTACACACTGAAGGGCAGCTTCAAGTCTGAGCTGGCGGTCCTTTCCACAATAAGCTGCACAGTTCTACACTGACAACCCCATCCCTGGAGCTGCCAGAGATTCTGCATTCGTTGGCCTGAAATGGGCTGCAGCACCACTTCGACCTGCACGAGCTGCTGGATGGGAGCTGCAAACGGAACAGAACTGCCAGTCCAGCAGCTTTGGCAGACAAAGCGCGACAAAACCGCTTTGGCCTAGTGGCTACACTTGGAAGAAACAGGTGCCCCAGACATGCTTGAGATGTGTGGCCCGATGATCCGCAGAAGCTGCCCGACAGGAACCACTACATGCAAGTCCATGACGTCAGCACAAACCCACCTAACACGTGCCCCCCCTTGCACGGCGGTTCCTTGCATCATTCGGACATTGTGTTACAGTAGTGGAACGAGCGTTTTTCGTCAGAGGCTTGTTGATGCCTTGAAATCCGCCCATGACTGTTTCAGAAGGTATGCAAAGGCCGGGCCTTGTTCTGCCAAGATAATATTCTCGTTGAATTCCTGCTGTCAAAAGATATCCACTTCTCGCTACCCGTAGTTGCCTGGGCGGCTTGCAAAACATGCTTTTCGGTTCTTCTGCTGTCAATGCAAAAATAAACTCACTGGCATCTTCTTGGGTTCAATCAAAGTTCGTTTCAAGCTATTCCAACTTCTTCAGTCAGAAGCTGCGTTCAACCATAACTGAAAGAGCCATTTAAGTTAAAGTCAAGTAATTACAGGTTCGCCGTTTCAAGTCGTCGAAGTTGAACATATGCTAATCAGTCTACGAACTGATACTGCTCTGGGCAATCCAGTTTCCCAATGTCGGCGCATGCAGCTTGCCAAAGCGCACGCCGATCGATGTGTCGGGTTTTGGGCTTATAGGGTCAAGGGTTGCAAGCACTGCCCGCATGGAAAACGACTTCGATGCATCAAGAGATATAATTACTCTGGGAATGCAACTCCCCATGTGGATCAGATCGATGCGTAAAGAACTGAGCCATGCGAGATAAAGAGACTACGCGTAGCTCAAGATAGGTATGCCGGTATGCCCTGAATATGTAGTGGTGCATTCACCAGATATCCAATGGGCCAAGGATGCAATAAGGACGACATGGAAGATAACACATGTGTGGCCTATGGGTGCCAGCCGTCGCCACAGGTGCACCAGCGCACCAACCTGTGCGCATGAACACAAAAAGACAAAGATGCGAAGCTTCGAGAAGAACATGAAATGCTGAGGTTTCGGTTTGGAACGCGGGGCCAAGATTCTGTTTCAATCCTCACCCTGAACTGCTCTTTGACAAAGCAGTCATGACAACTCAGGCGGGCTCAAGCGAGAGCTAAACCAGACGTAATGCCGCTACTAGGGGCGTACGCTATGAACTTAATTAGTCATCCGGCCCCTTCACCGCACATGCTATGTCTGCTCCCATCTACCCTCACGCCGGATGTTTAGAAGTTTAGAGTGCTACCCTGATGTGCAATGCAGCCAGGCTGAAAGGAGACCTTGCAGAAAGACCAAAAGACGCAGAGCCTAAGACAAACTAGCAAACCCTAACCTTCCAGTGTTGCGACCAGTTGCGGTGGAATGTGCGCGTTTCGATTGCTTTCCACCATAGCAGCGGCGTTGGCTCCTTCGATCGCTAGGGACTTTGCTGTGGGACCCCCGCCACGCCCACTCAACAAAACAGTCTGCGACTGCTCTCAACCCCTGTACCTGTTGAAGCCAATGCCCAACCTTGCCCTGGGCAATGCAGAAATCCACCCTAAAACCTGTGAGATCCTGGAGCATCCCAGGCCAGCTGCTGTACAATGTCAATCCTGCAGGCTGGTTTCAGGTATCGGCACAGGCATCTCTCCCACGAAGGCATCGTCTTCATCATAGTCAGAGGGAACGCAGAAATCAGCCTGGATGTGGTCTATACTTGCTCCATCTGCACTTGCTTATCTACCCCATTACTCACACCTGATCAGGTTTGGGGCCTGTGGCAGAGCTCGGCGGCGTAAGCACGAACATAGCCTCACCGCTGGGGGGGGTGGGCCTTTTGCAGTGTCAAGGGCGAAGTGCTGAAGACGGTTAGCTTCACCGGAGACACGTCTCTCTGAAATCAGGATCGTCTTGTATCTCTAGATGCGACTTGGGGCTGCGAGCTTCGCACCATGGTGGGCTCAATTGCCGCTTCTCTGGTCCATGTCTTATGCTTGTCATTGCTTGTCAAGCCTTCCCTGCCAAGATGCGATCCGGGTCTTTGGGTTTCACGGCTTGGGCGGTAGCACGGAGGGCCTGCAGGCAGCTATCCTCCCGAGGCAGGAACGGAGGATGCCTCGCGATCTACACAGACACTGTGCGTGCGATACCAGATCCATTGTGCGATGGGGGGCGCAGCTTCCATCAAACCAAAACTAGACATGATTGGAGCCGCGAACAAAACTCGTAAGCATTGCAACAGCAGGCCGAAATATGAACTGGCCTTCGGCGGTGCTGCAAACCCCATGCAAAGCCGTGATAGTGTATCTCAGGCGCTGCCTCCTCGCACTACACCTCGTTACCTCGCCCTTATGTAACACCTCTTCAAACCCTGAACCGGTCAATGTGACGGTTCGGCATGCTAAGTTTTGTATGTGACGCTGTTGGACTGGGCATCTCTACTTGCGCTTTGTTGGCAAACATGTGCTGGACTTTAGGTTGCATACGGTTGCATGTTGTCTGTTCTCGCGTGAGTAGACGTTGTCCCATGCGTTTCCGGAGAACACAAGTCCCCACCCCAGGCCAAATCCTGAGCAAGTCGCCACGAAACCTCGCAAACCCCAAGCCCTCAACACCCGAACCTTAAGGCGCGACAAAGTTGTCCTCCACCAGGCTCCCGGAGGTCAGGAGCCGGATTAAGGCGTGGAGCGCCGTGGCTCGGACAGCGCCGACCTTTGGCGAGGAAAGGGGTGCTGGTCAAAGTGATAGTCGTCATCGGCTACGCCGGGCCGGTCAGCCACACAGACCGTCTGGGAGACCAAGCGGTGCCCAGACCTAGTCTTAACTCCACCTGCTCCAAGAGGCAGTATCCTCAGCCACTGCTTGTTGCAAAGGCCAGGCGGTGTCCTTCCGAGGCTTTCACATCTAATGGATCTTGTCATTTGTTGTAGAATGTGCGTTAGTTATGCTGTTAGTGTGTTGCGTCTTCTGCGTCGCTCTCTAGATTCCTGACGAAGCTGGAACATCTTCGGCATGCGCAGTCCCAAGTCGCCAGCATTAGTGTACTCTAAACGTGAGTCTTTGAGCACGGCATGGTTTGGGGCTTGATGGGCATCATGGTCATAACAGTGCCGAGATCAGAAGTCCTGCAGGCGCAAGCAGCCAAGCGCCTCTGCGGCGCATATGCGAACGAGAGGATCCTTGGCGCCCTTCCTCAGCTACCGGCATCCTCTTATTTGAACTGATCTTGCTTTCTTTGCTCACCAACCGTCTGAATCATCAGATCAAAGGGGTTCATTCGCAGGGTTCGATGATGAAAAACATGCATATATTAACTTGAAGTGCTTCTTCGGTGTTGTTTTTCCATCGAACGGAGCAAAGCACGTGTTTGTTTGTTCCTGCGGCTTTTTCAGTCTTTGTCCGACAGAGAAACTGTTAGGACGTTATCTCGCAGCAACAGATCATTAGTTATAATGAAAGCATGTGAACGAACTTTGTGCTTTCCGTGAAGATGAGGGCACAAAGGTATGAGAAATCCTAGTGGCTGAAGTCAACTTGTTAAGCACCGTCTTCATTTCGCAAATGCTAGGTGATTGATGATCTACGCATAAGCGAAACATAGTTTCTACTTTCCTTTGCCTTCCTCGCACCTTCCAACATCTCTGGGAGCCAACATGATCGATAACAAGTATTTTGTGCTATGGCATATTGTATCTATATGTACATATATATATATATGTAAATCTATCCATCCCCATTCATTCATCGCAGCCGGCGGTTCAAGACCTCCTCCAAGGCCTGCAGGGCCTTCGCCCCCGCCTCGCCTGGAGATCGGGCTTGGGAGATCGAGTTGATGCAGTTTTGATGCTCTGCCGGGAGGTTTGGGGAGATCCCTACTGCTTAAATTGGCTTAAATTACATGGGTGAGAGAACGGCGAGAGCCAACAGAACATTTGAGGCTCGGGCTCTGGTTCGCTTGCGGTCGCAGCTTTTGTGACTGCTGTACGACATGTTCTGCGTGGGGGGGGGGGGGGGGGGGGGGTGTGACACCCAGCGGCCACCGAGCCGCTAGCCCATGTCTGGCCAGCATGCTTTGTGCAAGACTCCGGGGGGCGAAGCTAGAGACGACGCAGTCTAGCATCCCCGACTTGCACACAATTCAAAAGGTCGCCCAAGATACTGCATCCCCTCCCGGCATTCGCAACCGGTCCAGAACATGCCACACCAAGCTGTTGGAGCCTCCGTCCAAATCGGCCAGATCCAGACACCTGCCGAGGCCGTGCACAGCGTCAGCCGACTGCCGAACTGCAGGCTTCCTGGAATGGGGTTGTTTTCTTCTAGGGTTGTTTTCTTCTAGGGCCTTAAAAAACGATCTCGGCTTTGTCACGTTTGGTGGGGGATTTGGGCTGGACAGTTGAGTGCTTAAAACTTATCATTCTGATGCCGTGCTTGTATTGAAAAAATCTTTGACGCACAAGCTACCAGCTAGCAATATAGCCTCGTGTCATGCGACCCCACTAGATGCTTCTCCGAATCTGCGGTCACCTAAGCCAACTGTGGCTCAGACAGGGCAGGGCACGACAAACCACTCCAGCCTCACGATGCCTCACGCCCTACCTTCCAAACAGATGTGGCGAGGGACTCCAGCAAAAGCGGCACAGCCACCGGGCCCAACATGTCGAGGACATGCATCACCTCGGCAGAGGCCTACTCTGCGCGATGAAGGAGTCTTGTGTCACTCAGAAAATCAGCTTGATGGTCTCGCAGATGCCGCTGTTTTGAGTTTTGAGTCTAGAGCACATTCAAATCGAAGGGCATGGAGAGGCACACAGGCACGCTTGCCCCACCCCTCACCATGCAGCACTTTGGTGGTACAGCTTCGGCGTTTTCCAATTCCTTTCACCAAAGCTTGCTACAAACACAACCGGGGCGTGCTGAGTGAGTGTGGAGAATACAGAGGCTCGAAAGAGACAGTTGGTTTGGGTCGTGTGGGTGATTCCACTAGGCCCCTCTGGCATCCTCGGGGGCGGTCTGGTTGGTGTATGCTCGGTCAGCTGGGAGCCGGTGCATGGCATGGTCAGTCCCATTTTGCGCTCTTCGCTTCCCTATAAATGTCCATCCACTGCTGGTCTCAAAATGTCCTACATATCCTACATATGGATTGCCCTGATGACATTTGTGGAGGTAGCGAAGAGCCATGGCCAGATACAAGGTCTTCTATGCGCACGCACATTTCGTGTTCCGATGTTGAGATCGGCTGCATCGTCAGACCAAGTTGCTTGAAACGCTGACCAAGGTTCTCAAAACATTAACTGTTCCAACTGTTCCGATACTAGAGGACCTTGGTGGACATCAGCGCTTGTTCAGGCAATATGCAGCGAAGATGATACATGATGTAACATAACAGCGTGCAGGTACGCCAAGTTGATCGGACTCGCTATCCCACGTAGCTTCGTTGAGTGCGGTCCCACAGTCATGCCGCCCGCAGTGGGCAGATGATGCAAATGGGAGGTAGATAGAGTGCCCACGGGGCTCGTCTCATGATGGCGACTGCTTTTTGTGTGCGCTTTTGTGTAGAATGACAACTGTCAAACGGGCATAGAAAAACTCGCGCGCCAAGGTCGTGGTACGACCAGGCAACTGCGATGACGGAGGGCTTTCTTGCAGAGTGCAGGCAAGGCAGTGAAGTTTAGGGTTGCTTCGCATCCGTCAGCAGCTGCTGCTATGGCACCGCTCTTCTTAGAAACAAAAGAAAGTACCAAAAATCAGAAAAGGCGGGAGCCGAAATGGATAAACACCGAAAAACCCACCTGAACAGAGGCGGCGGCATAAACTTTCCGTGGGCAGAACACCGGAACATAAGCACTCGGGGCAGGAGAGACGAGAGAAAACAAATGGGGCGCTCAGTGTCATCGGAACCCGGCGGCAACATAACCCCATGCTACAGGGAACTAGCTGTGGTCTATCAACTGCTGAATGCTGACCTTGCTTTGTATGAGGTGGCCTATGGAATGCACGAGTCAATCTGAAAGCAGTCAACGAGCCAGTAAATGAGTCAAGTGCACTGTCACACTGTCACATGGTAGCTCAGGCGGGTCAGCCTACCTAGTTCCTAAACCTTATTCCTATGATAGACAAGTTGTTTCAGAAGACCATCCATTTTCCACCCTTAGGGTTTCGGGTTTCCACTATCGGGTTGTCTATGGGGTGGGGCATGTGATGGGGGTTGAGTATGCTATTTTCTACGGGGCTAGGGGTGGTTCCATAGTATGGGTTCTTCAGGCAGGTCTTGGATGGGGGTCTTTTGGTGGGTTGGAGGTTGACGTGTACGTTGTTATGGATTGGGGTGCTAGGGGGTAAATGGTAACGGTCACTGCTAACTTATTCGGGCGGCGTTCCGGCCACGAAGATGCAGCAGCCTTGGAACTGGGGTTTTCAGAAAAAAACTGTGCCACAGCTGCAACTAAACTCTCAACGACAACATCGCACAAACTCCCTAGCCTGCTCCACGAAGCCCTCCTAAAGTCGGCGGTGCGTCACAAGGCTTAAACCCGAAAGGCTCAATGCCAAGCAACTGGTCCAATGCGGCCAAGACCTTCGAAAGCATTGGCGGCCGAGCCCTACCTTAGGTTCCCCCAGGAACCCCGCTCGCCTTTAAGAATGTTCGGGGACACCATGCGGTGTGACGGGGGCCGGCGGCTCTTAAACAAACTTATTGTCTCTGGACGTAATTCCGAAACCTTCACATTGAAGAGTCATTGAAGAGGCTCGTCGTTTCTTGCGAAAGGCCTGCTGCGCAGTTGAAAACTGCATGCATGTATGTATGCCACTTATAAACAGGGCACGTGCGTGATTCCCAGGTGCAACATTTGTGTCTGAGGGGGCAAACCTGCATTTGCGCCTGGCACCTGATGCGATCTTGAAAGGAGGTTGAGGGGTTGTGAACTTTCAATGATTCGTGATTGGCACTTGATTCAAATCATGTTTTTGACCACAGTGGGGCAGCCCTCTATTTTTTTGTTGCTAAGCTGTTCGATTCGTTGGGCACGCGCTTTGCAGGGAATTATTGCCCACAATCGTGGAGTTTTCGCGAACGCCAATGCGTTAGGGTTTCGGGCTTGAGCTCCGGAACTTTGAAGCTTGGGCTCGTGGTTCTTGAGGCTTTTGAGGCGGCCAGCGGTCAGCAAATACTGCGCGTCACCCCTTGAACCCCCGCCCCCACCACGGCCTAGTGAAGGTTCAGGAAATGTCGATATAAGGGCCACCAAAGGCAAAGCATCTGGAAAATTCCATGGAGTCTGTCATGTAGAGGCATCATTTCTCACCCACCCACCAGTAGAAGTATGAGTCTCCAGAGTGGCATAAGACGAGGTCATGAAGATGGCCAGCAGCGCATGAAGTTCGGCAGAAATCTGCTGAGCTTGCCGTGCAGACTTCCAAGCGAGTCAAGTACATACTATGCTAATACAACAATACATAAGAATACTAATAATAATAATAATCCGCAGTGTAAGAAAACTATTTCATGGAAGATCATTGAATATAGCCCGGTTCCACTCCACCTCATGGAGCCCAGCACGCCCTTCACCCTAGTTCCAGGCTCACTTAAGTCCAGCCACAGAGTCTCGCCAGCTTCCAAGCTGCCGCCACACGCACCGGGTCGAAGGCATCCTGCACTGTGGATGGGTGCTTCTCGGCTTTTCGGAACCCGAAGTCATCCAATTCGAAAAGCGCAACCCGATGGGGCATCTGGATGTTTCCACGGCAACTCGACAAGCAATCTGTTGATGTCAATGTAGCTAAGCCTGGGCTTCTAGGCCTAGTTTGGCTTGGACATCTTGCATGCGCATAGTCCAGGGGTTGGTGTTGGCATCCTCGCTAAGCACAGACTTGATGAGGGGCACCCGGGTTGGTAGCTAAGCTTACTGATGGTGATGAGGCAAAGAAGCCTAAGATTAAGCCTATCAGTCTAGCCCATGGGTGCAGCGAAGGCAAAAGCTACTGGTAGCACGGTAGCACGCGAGTCATGGTTTAAGGACACCCACCCCCCTCCTGAAAAATCCCATGAAGTCTTTATTTCGACAGCTGTATATGAAGGGGCGGGCATCTTGGTGTTTTCTCATCGCATCAGCCCGGATGGGTTCCCAAGCGCTGGTGCGACGCAACCGGAAGATTATGGACACTTTGACGAAGGATCACCCTGAATGTCCTGTCCGTGCCCCTCGAGGAGGTCGGAAAGCAACACCTCCCGGGACAAGCTCACACGAGAACCTTCCCCTGCAGGATCGTGGGGCTCACGCGTGTGCCGCCCTCTTGTCACATGGCAGCACATTTCAACACTGAGGGTTTGCCTTCGCATCCTCAGCGTCTTCTTGCGATGGCACCTTGCACAAAGGACGGCACATGCAAAGAACAAGGGCTGTGTGATGCTGCCGTTACTGTGCACAAGCATATACTCAATCCTTGTAGACCCACGCTTCACAGGGCTGGTTGTATGCAATATGAGAGTCAGTTATCTTCTTTGCTCTTTCGTCTGACCAGTGCTATTCAGAGCTCTAATCAACATCTAATCAACATCTCGAGCCCCTCCCCAATCAGATTCAGGTTTGGTCCTGCGCGCAAAGCGAGGTGGGAGCGGGACTTTTCACGTTGAACGACACCCAAATGCGATGAAACGGCGACTCCCGAAATTCGCGGCCATGCCCATGCCTAGGCGAGAGCGCGATTTTGACCCAACCGGCCGTGCGTGCCATGGGCACGGCAACCGAAGCCTCCTTACTTCCAACATTGGAACCCCGCCATGTTGTTGCACTGTTTGGGGAAGTAAGCCGAGGTAAGTGCTAGTTTTAATTCCTTAGCTTTAATTTAATTACGGATGCAAATGAAAAAAAACTAAACTTTAGCAACATGTAGACAAACACTATGAACTGCTATGTTACTTCCACTCGACAAAAGAGGCTCCCACTACATACTAGTTGACGGACTACGAGGACTTGTACTGAATCTTGGCAAGTTTGATGCAAAGGAAACTCAAACATGAGCCAACCAACTCGTAAACTGAGTTAGATTAACATGTTTTCATGAGCATGAGATAAGTTTTGATTTCAACCAGAATTTCGGCCGGCTAAACCTAAATCACTTGAAAATCTGCAAGCCTGAAGTTCAGCACGTGTGCTGGGTGTTCATTCAAATGCTGCAAGTAATCTAATTGAAAGAAATACATAAGAATGCTGGATTCCAGGTAAAGTTAGCTGATCACAACTGAATTTGCATCCAATACAACTAGCCGCATGTTTGCAATTTCGTACCGGCTAATGTTATACATGCTTCCCATTGGTGTAATTATGCTTTCTGTTGCGTAAATTGCTTCGCGGTTTACAAGCTACTTGTAAGCAGCTCAAGTAGCCACCAGAGTGGACGGATGGGGAACAAAAAGCAGACCTTAAACCTTTTAATAGCCCCATGTTCAGCCCCAAGGACCAAGGACACGCTCACGACGCCCCTGAAAGCACAGCTGAAACTGAAAGTCCTGAAGCCCTGAGTCCCTGAGCTCAAAAAACTCCAAGCGTTGTGAGCCTCGGATGCTCCATGCAGCCAGTCCCAAACACCCTGCCAAACCGGCCTCGGTTTTGTTTGGCAAGACACGAGTGGTTCAAACAAATCTCGGGTGCCGGAGATGCAGGCTTACAGCAAGCAGGCTTTGTCGGGCTCGGGCCGGGATCAAGGGTTGGGCGCAGTAGGGTTTGGCAGCAAGTGTGCAAAAACTGGTGATCAAATCTGACGAAGGGGCTGCATGCGTGCTGGCGCATCCACATCCTCCTGTCTGGCTTACAACTTGCAGCCAGCGCATCCCCGAGCCCAAGCCTACAATCCACCTGCCAGTGTTTTCTGGCACATGACGCCCGCTACAGGGAGGATATCTTGTGAAAGCCTGTGGCGATTGGGCTTGCCCACCGATGTTACCATCATCGCAGTCTTGGTCGCCAAAATCCCTATGCGTGGAAAGCTCCTACCTTATGCTCCAAGGCAGCTTGCGTGTCCGCGGAAGCGAACGACTCGGACAGAGGATTTTTAAGGGTTACGAAAAGGGCCTCCAAAAAAAAAAACATAAGCCCTATCAAACATTATAAAACCCTATAAACCCTATAAACCCGACAAACGCTACAAACCTTGTGCATCCTGGAAGAACTTCTCCCAAACGATGGCTTCGCCGGGCGCCGAGCGCAGGCGCGGCGCCAAGGCAGGGCTGAGCATCCGGCTGAACCTTATAGGGTTTAGGGTTGAGGGTTTAGGGTTTAGGGTGGCAGCTGCAAGGTCCTGTAAGGTTCAACCCGAAGCACCCTACACTTGCAGACTTTGAAGATCCTTGCAGATGTTGATCCCCTCGTTTATCCCCGGAGCTGCATCCTTCATCGGCATTGAACCTGCGATCTCCTGATTTCACTATGTCGACCGCCTAGCTGTTCCCATGCTGCTCTCTGAAGAAGCATGTTCTTTCATCCAAGCCTGAAGTTCAGATGTCGCAGCTGGTTGTTCGAACAACAACCCCCTTTTGGAACAACAACAGGGGGCTGAATCGGGGGAGAGGGGGGGGGGGTGTGTCCACCACGCTGTTGGGAATGGCTCACGGCCTTTTTGAGGGGTTTGTTTGCAACACGTGAAGGGCCAAGTGGCTGAAATTTGAACATGTAGCGGATTCCGTCGCTGATGTTGGCGCCGCCCCGGTGCCAAAGATCGTAGTGCATAAGGACTACCTGCTTATTCTGGGCACCAAGTACCGAAGTCAAGGCATAAGATGACTGCGCAATGAACCCAAACCTGAATCTCGAATGATCTCGAATATAACCCGACCCTAGCAACGGAAACCGCCGAGGACCGTAACCGAAACCGTGTAAGCGGAGAAGAAGGACAACCGTAACAACAACCGGCAGACGTGCAACAGAAACCAGGACCCCGCCGTAACGGAAACCACCCACCCTAAAGCCTAAACCCTACACCCTAAACCCTAAGCCCTAAACCTCTAAATTCTGAACCCATCTAAGAAGGGATTGCTGTCAGGCCTGTGTTTCAGCGAGTTATCTCAAGACAGCGCTGCCAAGGAAGTAAGCATATGATGCCGAAGTGGACACCCTGCCTATAGAGTGCATTTTCGAACTGAATCTGCCCTGAACCACTCACTATTGGACATAGTAAACATCCCATCGCAGTCATCATCATGCTCATCATTCATCCGGCCAAGGCACGGTGCCCGCTGAACAGCACAACGGTCGGGCATGCACATGCCAGTTCACAGCAGGAACGCCCGACTCTGCCTGTCAAAGAGGGTTGAGTCATCCAACAGGTACCATATTGATGCAAGTCAGCTTCGCCACAACAAGTGCAGGCGCATCGGAAAACCCTAGCAACCATAGGCCATGACCTTGGTTTAAGGTGCTGGATTTCTTAAGGGGCGAATCATGGTAGAAAGCAACCTTGTCCTCCTCGACTCCTCGCCCCCTTTGTTTTCAGACGACATGCCTCTCGATCGTTGAAGCGGGCGCACCCATAGTAGGGACCTGCAGAAAACACGGCCAGACTCAATATGCAAGATCTCGCAATCGTGGGTGCCTCAGAAGGGCGGGGGGGGTTATGTGTCCCCACAAGAGAGCTCGGTCCACAAAACGGGCCTTGCGCATTCTTGTTCGTAAAAATAGGACCCTATTAGCCTTGAAGGTGGAAGGATCGCTATGCAAGTCCGGTTGCAAGCTTGCGGCTTGGGTGCTCTGCTTTCAGAATAGAGAAGGGTCGCGTATTTTGCAGTGGTGCCTTGGACCGATATGGCCACCAAGTATGTTTCTTGGGCGCATCAAACAAGGATGTTGCCCTAAAACCCAGGCTCCACAACGCTTGAGGCTTGGATCCTGCTTTGGAGCCGATAGGCCTCCCGCTGATGATGTTGTCGCCCGGCCGATGTGCTGATGGTTGCGCCACCGATGATGCGACACCCCTTAAAAGCGATAACGTCCACGCGTAACAGTCGATGTGGCTACATCTGCTCGAGGCTTGTTGGGAAGCATCTGCGCACGGGTGGATGAGCGCTTCTGCTGAAGTGCGCAGGAAATGTTTCGGAATTGCATTGCACGCTGAAACTTTTGCTTGTTCGACCTGAAACGAATCTGACTTTCCCCCTGGGTCAAACTAGCAGTCATACTCCTGTACTGCGCTCATCAGTAGCGGTGTCTCATTCCGAACGTAACCTGCTTCGCGGACACCCACAAGATGTACGACGCTGCGTGTTTTTCGTTTTTTGCCGCCCCGACCTCAAGCAACGCAGGCCGTACAGTACTGTAAGGGCTCATGGTAAACAGTTGGTATTCTTGTTGTTCTTTCTCACTATATTTGTTTGCTTATTATGATTGTCCCTCTAAGCACTTTTTGCTTCCGGTCTCGGGCTTGTCGACCCAGCCTAGAGCCTTTGATGGCAACGATTGGGTAGCCCTGGTTCCCCCTTGCCTCGATCGCTTTTCTCATCCTTGTTGTACCACCTGCAGGATGAAAGGCTGAAAACTTGCGACAGACGGCCCCACGCACTTGCTGAGTTCAAGAAATGAAAGCACATAACATTGTTCTAGAAAGCACGTCACATTGCTCTTTAAATTGAAACATATATGTGTCTATACATTGATATTATCGGCCTGGGCATCCTAACACATTTTGGGCAAGGCAATGTTGCCCTATCTCACTCACACCATTCTCGGCCAAACGGACTGTTGACTGGAGATCGATGGGGACTTCCTCACTTTTACTGTCAACCGCAGGGTGCAACAGCTACACAAAACCCTCAACGGACAAAGGCACAAGCGCAAGCTCCTGCAAGTCTAATCTGTCCGGCTGGGCACTGGCTCCGGGGCATGATCTCCGTGGGGCCCAGCTCCAGCGGTGTATCCTGCACGCAGGTTCGTGTAAACAGGTCGTGGGTATTGGGGCTTTGGGGACGCAGGCAATCGAATCCAGATTCTTGAACCTATATACGTCAAACCGATGTTTGGGAACAGTTCAGCGCTTACATCACATATTTCCCGAAAACCTGCCGGATCCTCGTGCATTTCTAGATGACCCCAATACATGGGTAGAAGTCACCAAAATCAAAAAGCTGCAAAGCCTTGCGCCATACAAGGCTCTACTCCCCGCCTGAGGGAAATACAGTGCCATGATCCAGTACATGCAGGCATTTCGTGGATGCCAATGCCTGAATCGGGTCATGGGCAAAGCAGGAGGGACTTTGGGAAGACTTTGCAAACATGAAGCGTGAACGCGCCTGACAGGAACGATCTTAATTAGCCCCAAGTGAGACAATGCACTTGCTCGACAACATCCGGCAAGCACCACCGCTTGCTGCACTCTAGTACAGAGTTTATCTCTGAGTCTGCACAAAACCCTACTCATAAACTACGCCTATAGCCATGGACCCAGGATTGGCATATGATCACATATGGCACAAGTACCAAAGCATCAGCGCCAGGCTGCCCCCAGAACGAGTCGCGATGCCACGTTTGTGGCGCAGGCCGCTCGCTGGTGTGGCAGTATCTGTGCCTCCGACATGCTGGACATGCTGACTTTGTAAGCCGCGCAGGCCTTCAACATGCAGAGATCACTGGGTTGCGTAGACGTTCTGCTGCAGCTGCGAATTTTCAGGATCCATAATGATCCATGTACCCCATTCACGGACAAGCTTCGGGTGCAGAAGATAGCACGGCCCCAGCAGGCTCTCCTGGGTGTCGCGCGTTTACCCTCAAAGTCTGCGGAGACAAGCTCCATACCCCCGAGCCTACAACCTGAGCATCCTTTCTCATTAACACCAACGTGCCAATCGTGATTTTCCGGGATATGGGAATTCGCTTCGTTTTTGCGAATCCCTTTGAGGAAAGATTAGTCAGACCAGCGGTAAGCCTTATATTGGCAAGAAAGATGCAAACAAGGCTTAGGATGCTTTAAGCGGCTTACCTGGGGCTTCCCGGCTCTTAGGGCGATGGCGCATGAGGGTAGGAATGCAGCGGAAGCACAATGGCCCCGCGGACTCGAGGAGACTCATAGACGTGCACCAAATCTGGAATGGCTGGCAAGACATTGTTCCCAAGCCTGGGGGGCAGTTTGGGGGGTTTGAAGAGATGTAGCCGCCTTAACGGGTGAAACATGTCCAGGTTCTTCTGAACTGCAGGCCACATGGCATGCACTGCATGTCACGTGAGGCAACTGTATGCTGGACCCCCAAACGAGAAAAAGCGTTAGCAATGTGTAGTACTCAGTACATCTAGGGGCTCCTACATCCCCCCACTGTGCCAGGGAGCTCTTCGGCACGTCGGCCAAAAGCCACGGCCTGCTTGAAGATAGAGTCATGCAGCTCACCTTTCACAGACAATCGTGTGTGTTGTGGGATGCTTGGCGCGTATGGGGCACAGTCGGCACAGTCTTCAGGTTCGAGACGGCTCTCTGGGCGGATTCTTTGCTCGCTCGTAAAAAAGGCATTGGCGCCAGAGACTCCTGAGCACAAGATCCCAACACCCCCCCTCAGCTGCAATCCAGCATATGTTCAGACCGGTAAAGGATCAAAACTTAAAACTTGTAAGCCCTCCACTCCTGAAGATTCTTGTGAAGCGGCCGTCGTCTTCGGGCGGCAGCTCCAGAAATCCCTCCACGATGAATTGCCTCAATCTTCAGAGTTCGCGTCTAGACGCCTCAACCCGGTGCTCTCTCTTGCGCGCCTCCAGAAGCAAAGGCCCTGCCTGCCCAAAGCTTCTTCAACCCCTCAACTAAACTTTGCATCCTGCCAATGGTATGATGCCAGGCTACTGCACCTGCTCATCGGACCTTAGACAGTGCGGGGCTGACATGCTTTGGCCTCACTCACAACAGTGACTTTCTGAACAACTCTGCCAGATGAGCAGGACCGTGAGGCCTAGGAAGCCTAGGCACAAAGGCACGGGCACCGACGGGCTTGGCAGCTTTGACCGCGCTCCTACGTCTGCGTAGCCCTGGGCAGGGGCATCGGCTCAAGGCAGGGCACAGAAAAAGTCGTGCTGTGTGGTGCGTGAGACCGGCAATCACCATGGTTGTTTCCGCTCCTCCGTTATTGAGCCAGCCGCAGCTAGCCCCTAAGGTCCCATGGTCATGTCATTGATCGCCCGAGTTCGAAGTCTGTGCAGTGACAGGTTTGATGTGCGAGCCCGTGGCCGGACTACTATACAACCGGGTTTGCGCTAAAGCCCTCTGCCTCCCAACTCAAACCTCCCAGCAGCCTCTCCCAACTGCCGAAGCCTCCCCGCCCCTCGCTCTCTTTTCATGTCTTTCGTGGCCTGCACCCGCGAACCCCACATGCAGAATCCCCCTCACTGACACTGGGATCGGGCTGCAGTCGCTGCGTACTTAGCGCAATGGCAAACTTGAAGAAAATCAGCTTGAAGAATTCTTTGCTGCTCAGTTGTCGAGTTGTTGCTGTCTCCTCCGGCCTTTGCAGGCGGCTGACGTGGAGCCGCTGGCTTCTGATCCCGGCGCCATCGCTGTCTGAGCGGCCAAAGGTCACAAGAGGTCACAATAGGTCACAGTGATGGTTTCAGCACACTTTCGCCCCGCTTCCGAGGCGCCAGGAGCAGCAATCATCTGCCGCAAATGAACGACTCTAGAGCTCAGATGAGGACTCTCCCTCTAGTAGCCCGAAAAGCAGCACCCGAAACCCCCGCACTCAAGACAATGTTTTTAACCTGCAGTGCAGAGGGGATGGGGCACTCCAGCCTTCATGACGGGATTTTGAGACTCTTTAAGGGCTGCCGAAAGAGCGGCCCTGATGCGCTCTCTGCTGCAATCTTTACAATCATATGACCTTCAATCTCAATTCTTCATCTTTGGGGTGTGGGGCACCAAGGAACGGGGTGGGGGGAGGGGGGCTTAGCTGGACCTTCGACCGAAAATCCCTGATCCCTGAAGCGAGGATCGTGCTGGGGACCCGACTTCTTTCCGCCATCTCAGAAGCAGAATGGGGGGTGGGGCGGGGGGGGGGGGGATTGAGGTTCACAGATGAGGGGCGCGTTTCTTGAGTGTACGTAGGCCTATGGCCTCAAGAAAGGTCGTTCACTATGTAAAGAACTATGGACAGACTAGCTTTCCTGCTGAGTTGGCTGTCAACGGGGAAGCTTCGGAAGGCTTGATGGGAGGCAGGTGCAGGGACGGGGACGGCTTCGACTTGAAGGACTTGGGACACGAAGCAACACAGTTGTGTGAACTCCTGAAATGGTCCTGACATGGTCTTCTGACTGAGAAGGAACCGGAGCCCAGGCCACCCGGCTCGGATCCGCGGGTTGAGGCGCCGCATCACACATGGCGCAACGGCTGCCGGCCACTGTGCTTCGGGGGTTTCCCAGCTAGGGCTCTCGAGGACTTCATGGTTCAGTTGCACGTCAACTGGGACAGAGGGTAAGAGTTTCTAGCTATAAGTGCTCTGGCGGGCCTTCTCATCTACTTGCTTGTTTGGATACAGACAGCCTCGAAGGTTAAGCTGGGTCATGCCCAAAGCCTGTATACTGGTAGGGGCCTACAATCCTATAGAACTTGTGCTCATGGTGCGCATGCCTTTGTCGAGGTACTGTGAACAATCGCGGGCACCATCGTTGCTCTTGTGCGTGCGTGCGCGCGTGTGCTATTTCTCCTGCTTGACCTCTGTCTTTAGCTGTCCGGTGTTTCATCTATATTGTTGTTGGTCTGTATCGTCTCTCTCCCCCTGTCTGCCCTGATGATCTGCTGCAGTATCCGCCAGGCCTTGGGATGGTTTAGGTATGATAGGGTCCACTCCATGAAGCTTGTGCATGCGGGCGTCATGAATTCACTCCCATGTCGTTGCCGGGGCCACGGCAGGGGCACATCCACGCGCTCACCTCCGTTGTCGAAGATGCGCTCCTGCTGACATATCCAAAGCGAGGCCGCAGCCATGAGACCAGGAAAAAGCCTTGCTATCTTACTCCAGCCATCTCCAGCACATAAAGCAGGACGAAAACTCAACTACCTCGCTATCTCAAGTGGTCGTACTGTGAAACACGCCACTTGCATTTCCAAGGAAAAGCACAAGACATGACACGGTTCCGTCATCCGGCTCTTCGGAATGGCATTTCCTTGTATTCAAAGATCTGTTTGTATTTTTGTTGCCAGCGATGGCCAAAATTCCAAGTTATTGCCTCTCTATCCCCCCTTGGACACTGCGCCCTTTGAGCCCTGAACTCCTCAAGTTTTGAACTGTACGGCTCTACGAGAATGAAGGCCCTCGCTAAGGAGGTGGCGTTCAGCAACGCGAGCAGGGCATTGAGGATGGAAGAGTTGGCCTCGCGTCACAGTGTTGGACGTTAAGGGGCTCAGGGCCTTGGGTGCTGAGTGCAGGGTAACGACGTCCCTGGTCGGGGAACACCATGGAAACTTTTAGACAGTCGAAAGTCCAGTGCATGACGAGTGCGTGATGGGTGTGCAGTCTGGTGCAAGGGCGCCTGGCGCGTGACTTGATCATGCGTTTTTTTCTCATACACGTTTTGTCTGCTTTGTAGATGGAGAAAGGCAGTGGCCTCGACAGGCTTCGGAGCCCTTATGTGGAGAAGTCACAGCAGGGCCTTGAAGACCTCGTCCAGGAAAGCAACATCAGCGGTTGGGAGGAAGCCCTCCACCTGCAACATCTCATCTGAAAGCCAGAAGATAGCTGGCAGCCCAAATGTCTGTCAAATCATCTTTGCGAGCCCCGAGATGTCACGCAAAAGTGGCGCATCCCACCTGCTCCTGTCTGGGATCTCCAAAAACAAGAAATGTTTTCCGTGAGGTGCCAGCTGCCTAACATAGCATCTCACACTAGAGTGACGATAAAATATTAGTAGGCCGCCTTACACGATCTGGGTTTTGCTGCGTTGCTCCATGGGGTCTTCTATGGTCTTCTCTCACCCCACCCCAACACTCCTTCAAGCATGCAAGAAGGCTAGCATGGGTACCGAAAAAACTTCCCTAGGCGCCTACGCCCTGAACCCTCCCCATATTTTAAAATAGCCTCGCACTTCTAAATGGGGGTTTCCGACATTAGGGGTACCTTATTGGGGTCCTTATTCTGAGGGGATCCTGCTATTTGGGGATCCTACTCTTTGGGGGGCCCTTATTTTTCGAAAACCCCCAAACGGGAGACCAGGAATTTTTTTCTCACGATGAGACGATCCCAGAGCTGCGGCCATCAGCAGCCGCCACTCGCGTCCGGGACACGACGAGCGTCTTCGGGCCCGGCTGAGCACCTCAAGGGATTCTCTGCTTTTAAGGTTTTTAGGGCTTTGTTTCTGTATGTTTCTGTGGAACTCTGGGCGTCCTTTGTGGGGTCTAAGAATTCGAGTTTGAGGATTCCAAGATGCGTTGAGGGTGTTTCAGGGCTGCGGAGTTGAATTGAAGCGCTGGTCTGGGCTCCGCCAAACGGACATGATGCTGGCCCGCGCTGCAGAGTCATGTTCGGAGGAGCCCGCAGGAAACTACTCTAGTGCGAATGGAGGTGTAGGGAGTTCTTGCAGAACACAGATCAGATCTAATCCAACGAGACCTGTTTGTGAATGGCTGCAATTGATCTGAGTTGCGGTCCAAGCATGATTGCAAGACATTGCAAGCATCAAACCACATTGTTAAGTGTTCGCACACTGCTCGCTTGAAATAGGGTTGGCGCCTACTGGTTCAGAAGCTTGGCCCCTATCGGTTTTCATTGTAAAGCAGACCTGGTCAGATCCATGTGACTCCTCTAATGCGAATTCAATCACAGGATGTGTTCTGGCACTGGGTCTGAACAAAAGTTTTGGCGGACGGGTCGCAATAACAAATGCTGTGGGGGCAGGAGGCTGGGGCTGGGGCCTTTTCTGAGACTCCTCGAATCGATTTCTTCGTCTGGGGCTTACGGAATCGCACTATCTATGATTGCCTCCGATCAAGCTGCTGAGAATGAAGCACTCTCGGCCATGCTCTCTCTGATCGATTGAAAAGATCTTGCAACAGAATTTCTCAAGACAGGTCATGATAACTTTCACCCAAGCATTCGTCACGGCTGCCTCTCCCATAGGTTTCCGGGTCGATGTTCAGTTCAGGGAAACCAAGACCGCCTTGACCCATGCCCGTCCGGTCCTGTCACGCCTAGAGCTGCCCAGACACAGCCGTTGGAATCGACAGGCGCCACGACCAAACGCAACTGCCTGACGGGATTTGCTGGAGATCTTCCAAGAACCCAGAGCTTGAGGCCGCAATGCACCACACTTGTAGCTCATAGTCACAGTCTGAAGTCATTTTACACTGAAGTTACTGAAGTCGGAAGTCCTTCGAATGACCTTCCGAACTGTATCGGCCCCAAACAAAGTCGGCCTGAGTACGCGCAGCTCCCGCTCGGGGGGTGTGCGGCCAGGCCAGCCGTAGAAGCTGAGAGCACCAGCCATGGCCTCAGCTTGACAAAGCTCAAGTGGAAACCTGCGAGACCTGAGGGCTTAATCTTGGTATGTTCCCCCTTGCACTAACGGCCCTTGATAGGCATGATAGTACTCCCCAATGTAATCCCTATTAAGGACTGTTGGAAGATCCCAAGCTTAATCTTCATAATCTTTCCATGCAGTTGACTCGGCGCATTTTCTGTCTTAGGGGCTTCTTTCTGTCACTTCACATTCGCGTTTGCTCCTAATCTACACGCCAGCAGCATTTGTAGAGCTTCTGAAGCCTTCATCCCTGAAGGAGGCTTCTGTGGATTCCGAAGTTCATGGTCTTGCCTTCCAGCTCAATTTCAAGACAACAGCTACAATTTCACGCCATAGCGTGCCCCCTTAAAGCTCGCACATGCTGGCAGGTCGAGGTCCGGCTTTCGGCTTGCAAGTCAATGCAACGATTCGAAGGGATCCCAGAAGCATCCCTTCTCCGGCCTGCTTCCGCGAAGGGAAAGCAAGGACAGCCTGCGCGGGCTCCAGAAGCATTACCTGCCAGGATGCAGGGATAAGACCTCGGGGCGTTGGGTGCTGTAATTCCAGTGCGAAAGCCCCTTTCTTCAGAAGTCTCCAAAGCCTCATGGACATGAGTCCCCCGTTGGGCTCGCCTCAGCACCAGTCCCGGGAAAGGCGGCCACCAAATCGTCTGCTTGGAGCTCAGGATTTCGGCCCTTCCTGGGGTGAGTGCTGCGTCCGACAAGACCGGGAGTTCTGTCAAATTCTGCAGGTTTAAGGGTTCAGAGCTTGAGCCCGTTTCTCACGTGCACAACCGTAAAATCTTGAGGCTCGTGCTGCGCACTCGTCTCACAGCGGTGCTCTCAGACTCGAAGAGGTATTGGCTCAAGGCCTGCAATTAATAGTACCCTTACGCAAAGCGCCTCTCAAGGAAGTCTCTTGTTAACCTGCCAAGACACTCGGATCGAAAGACCAAGCGCGCAAAGGATCTTCCTCAAAGCGACCGGGCCAAAAAGTGGCGAATGGTGAAGTATAAAACTACGTAACTACACACTTCTCAGAACCTCCTGCTTGCTACTGGCCCAGGATGGTGACTAAGACTAAGAGTGTGTGTGCACGGGGCAAGCCCTGTACCTGAAGCGTCATGTGCGTCATGCAGGCCCATAGCGCAAAGCGATGGAGCTTCGGCTCTCCAGTACAGCAAGGATTGTTTTGGTTCAGAGGGCGATCGATTGCACAATGGATTCGGAACTGCAATGTCAAAGTTGCTCAATCCCTAGGCAGCTGCTGGCTGCTAGCTGCTGGCTGCTAGTGGCATGCGGTTACGAATTTTTGCAAAAGGGGTAAGATGACATGAAACCCACTGGCACAGCCTTCTGCTGTCTGCTCCTCGTCTGCCACATTCTCCTCCGGACCCAGCAAGCACCAGAAAAAAAGGGCGCCTGCAGCCTACGAGCCTGACATGTTGATTTCAGCGTGGGAGCGGGTGGTTTTCATGAAGTTTTATCGCAAGCCAAATCAACTCATCAACTCCATGTGTCTTTGTGGCTTGCTTTGGTCTTAGTCTTCGGCGCTTCAAGCTCAAAACGCATGAAACATTGACCGCATCGCCCAAGAGCTTGTTGAGCACTGTCTATTTTGTCGTAAGTTGTACATACGCTTGGTCTGTACACAGGTGCATGGCATGGACATGACTGTAGTTGCCGACTACCGATTCAAGCACCAAACCACGACGTGCGCAACACGCTTCTGCACAACTAGCTGAATAGAGTGTAACCGGAGCTTTCTCATGCCGTGTGTCCTTGCAAGCAGTGCACACTTCATGTCAGAAAGATACACGAAATCAATAACTCAATAAATAAAAGAAATAATTGTATGTATATTATATATATAGATATATGTATCTA